AAGGTAGTTTTCCCTGTTCCCCAGTGGTATATAGAGGCTATCAAAAGGTAGGTTTCCCTGTTCCCCAGTGGTATATAGAGGCTATCAAAAGGTACTTTTCCCTGTTCCCCAGTGGTGTATAGAGGCTATCAAATGGTAGTTTTTCCTGTTCCCCAGTGGTATATAGAGGCCATCAAATGGTAAGATTCCCTGTTCCCCAGTGGTATATAGAGGCCATCAAAAGGTAGGTTTCCTTGTTCCCTAGTGGTATATACAGGCTATCAAAAGGTACTTTTCCCTGTTCCCCAGTGGTGTATAGAGGCCATCAAATGGTAAGATTCCCTGTTCCCCAGTGGTGTATAGAGGCCATCAAAAGGTATTTTTCCCTGTTCCCTAGTGGTATATAGAGGCTATCAAAAGGTACTTTTCCCCATTCCCCAGTGGTATATAGAGGCTTTCAAAAGGTAGGTTTCCCTGTTCCCCAGTGGTATATAGAGGCTATCAAAAGGTAGTTTTCCCTGTTCCCCAGTGGTATATAGAGGCCATCAAAAGGAACTTTTCCCAGTTCCCCAGTGGTATATAGAGGCTATCAAAAGGTACTTTTCCCTGTTCCCCAGTGGTATATAGAGGCCATCAAAAGGAACTTTTCCCAGTTCCCCAGTGGTATATAGAGGCTATCAAAAGGTACTTTTCCCTGTTCCCCAGTGGTATATAGAGGCCATCAAAAGGAACTTTTCCCAGTTCCCCAGTGGTATATAGAGGCTATCAAAAGGTACTTTTCCCTGTTCCCCAGTGGTATATAGAGGCCATCAAATGGTAGTTTTTCCTGTCCTACAAGACTCATTTATCAAATGGCAGTGTTCAGCGAACCAGAATAATGAATTCAGATTGCAAAACCATCAAATGGTATTTTGCTCATGTACCCAGACAATACTAAAATTTAAGTCATTAAATGTTTTTTGACTCTAAATCAAGATATTCTGTAGACCAAACCCATTAAAATCCTATTTTCCTTGTATATTAAATGTACTTAATTTGCCGTTTCATGAGATAATATATGGCCATTAAATGGCACTTAACATTGGAATGTCAAAGTTTATGATGTACGAAGAAATTGTGTATAGATTACAGCACTGAAATGTCACCAGGCTCAATCAGTGTAGCATGAGCCAGAGCCTGGGTTGGAATCCTATCCGAGACATTGAAATAAATAATGACCTCTGTTACACCTGGTTAAATTGTCCTTCATAAACAAGTGCAAGATGTGCTTAAAGGACATTAGTAAAAAGGTTGCCTAATTAATTTTGTTGTGTAGTTATCTATATGATTTATGTTATTCTACTCAGTGTTAAGTAATATTTCAAATGCTGATTTAAGAAATTCATATAAATACATGAAATGTACAGATAAAATGTAATGTTATTTTATAGGAGGCTTTGTAACATACACATACGAAAAACCCAACAAACTCTTTCGTTTAAAATACAGGTATACCAATACTTATTCTTTCTTAGCATGACCTCTTGAAATTTCCTGCCCTTGACTTTTCAGCATTTATCCCCCCAACAGCAGCTTCCAAATTACTATATTAAACTGCTATCCTATCTTTTTTTCATTTTACAATTTATTGCATTTGTTGGTATAGATAGGTTATGTTTATTTCAATGTCACATACCTATACATACAGCTTACACAAGATACTCCTGCAGTTCTATAATTTAATCATGTATTGATGCAAAATTTGTGAGAAAACTCTCACATATGTTTTGACATTACCTTCAGCTGGATGGAGGTGGTCATTATTGTTAGACCACTACCATCAGGTGGTAGGCTGTTCAAATCACCCTACGTCTGTGGTCCTCTGTAAACAATTTAATTATTGAAAAACAGGAGTGATGTGCTTCATGGTCCCTAGTTGTGCCCATTTGAGTTTGGGACTGATTAGAAAATTAATATGGCCAACAGGTGGCCATCACTATTTTGACTTGGAAAATTTGTTATTGTTGTCTCTTAAGAAGTACTGGATGGATGTTTCTCAATTATTAGTTGTTGATTATCCTTGGTCCTTCATTGTGCCCATTTGATTAATAAACTGATAAGAAAAAAAAATGGCTGACAGGTGACCATCTTGGATTTCACAGAAAAGAAATGTTCAAATTTAGTATCCTTAAGGGCAAAAACAGAGAAGAGAAAAGAAGGGAAAAAAATCCAACATTTAAAGAACAAATGAAGATCAAACAATGGTGGGTGTCAAGATCCCTCTGGGATCTCTTGTTTTTAAACGTAACTGACATACATGTATTTTAAAAATGATTCCAATTTTTTTCATGAAATTTTGTGATCAAAGGTCTTGCCATGACTTAAAATATCAGATTGACCTAACCAATCCCAGTGAGTTTGTGAATCTGTGTAACAAGTCCTTTCTTATAGACATTTAATGTACAAATATTTTAGCCATTAAACAGTAGTAATCTACTTGAAGCTTGTCCTGTTCATAGAATATATACATGTGTATATATATTGAAGTTTTAGAAGTGTGGCACAGGATCTTTACCCAAGGTCTGTTTCTTAGGGTTGTTCATTACCAGATCAATACATGCAGGCATTCCAGTGTATGATTTATCTATTTTCATGAATTCAAAGTAGCCGCTGTCTTACTGTCAACTTTTTAGTGAGCTGCGAGGTCATGTGACACTGACATCACAGGTGACAAGGTCAGGAGGATCTCCCATTGTACACAATAGGGTGCAAGTCTTAATCTTTCTCTTTGTTTGGTGCTTTCCCACACAGACACATCTGAAAGGGAAATTTGCCAGCGGAAATTCATATTAACTACTTCTGTGAAAGTTTCACCTAGTGTAATTTTGTGGTAATGCATTTGTTTTCACAACCAAGATGTCAAGGTTTTAATTCCTAAAAGGTATGGGGTCACCTGCCCGAGCACATGGGTTTTCCCCAGATACTCCGGTTTCCTCCCTTTGCACTCTTAAGTTCAAATACGTTGTGTTGCAATTATTGTTGTAGCTGTATCCAGATCAGTCACATAGGGTCAGTACACACTTAGAAGTCACATTACTTCATCAGATAGATTTTTGTGGTCGTCAGTAATAGTGTGAGGGTCAAAGATCATGGAGTACCATAACATCATGTTCTACACTAGAATAGATTTGGTGGTCAACGGTCAGGATGAAAGGTTCAAAGATCAGATGCACACTCATACGTTTGAAATAAAAAAAAACATTTGTACAAGACATCTTGTGAGCAACTCATTGGATTTTTTCACATTTTCGCATTACAGTATTATGTTATCTCAACAATTACTAGTTAACTTTAAAGGATAAATTAACTTGTGAGACTTAACCACTTTTGAAACAAAAAGTCTGGAGTGGGGGTACATCTATAGAACCCATCACTCTCTCTGGTTTTTTTAAACTGTTTGTTAATTTTTCAGTATAAAATATGGTTAAACATTATGAATTGCTAATATAAAGTATGTGACAGTTTTGTAAGAAACAAAATATATGTACCTTATTTATTTAATCACTGCCATTACTACGTTTTTGTGATATTTCATGGTTTTAAAATCTCTACTTCATAGAGGAAAATTATAAAACTATCTATATTCTCTTTATATGAAACATGATATTTTTATTACACAAAAATATAGGACTTATATCTACACAAGTAAGATCATACATCCTTAAATCTTGTGTTGAACAGATGCATGGTCCACAAGTTTCCTCACTGAACCCAGGATCTTATGCAAGCTTTTGTCAAGTGGTGTGTATGGCTTGAATGGGAGAGCTACATGAATCCCTCCATCAAACTTTATGAAATAGAAATGATTTAGCAAGCTGTTGTATTCTGTGGTGTATATAACAGGGTGGGAGAGCTACATGTAGCTCTCTGTCAAACTCAATGAAATAGAAAAAAAAAGTAGAGATTTTTCGAAATATTGATAAAATCAATTTTAAAAATATTTAACAAGCTGGAAATTCTATATGCATTGTGTCTATTTGTATCACAGACAATACATAATATATGTTTTGAATAAAGGAACAGCATTTGTGTATTGAAAGACTACGAAATATTTATTACTCAGAATACAGTGATGAAGCAGAACCGGTCATAATTCTGTCCTAATGCAGGATGTTGCAATTTATGTTTACAACACGATTCCAATGAAATAAAATATGTGATTACCATATGTGTTTAATATTTTTTCAATGCTGTCAACATTATATACATACATGTCTCCCTGTTTAAGAGAAAATCTTCCTCACATTCAACTCAAATTGTGTCTAGCATTAAAATGGTCCCTGTTGTACTTCAGTATACTCCCATAGTCCCTGCCATTCAGTTCAGTTCATTCTGAACATGTTGAATACATGGACTAGTACAAAGCAGTTCAGTGTAGACATAATGTCTTTTTTGCATGCTGTTTGACTTTGTTTTCCATAATTCCTTACGGATTCGTTTACCTTATTTTTTGGGTTTTCTTACGAGTCAATTTGATGGATGCTTCATGGAATTGAATATGATTTTACAGTCTACTAGTTTTAAAATTTTTGATGCTTTTCTGTTGCAGGTAGCTCAATTCGGTGTCGATGATGCTACTACGTATATATATAAATAGTCTCAGTTGTCTGTCTTCGTTATTATTCCTGGTAGTTAGCTTGTAACTGAACTGTGGTCTGAAAGACTGATGAAGTTTGTTTATTTAAAGACGATGACTTGTTTTTCCTTTCATTTAAATGATGATGGTTGTCTTTACTGCTAAATGATACACTTGCTTGCTATCAACGAGTATGAAATCTGTTCGGACTATCATGATGCCCTTGTTGTCACCTGTTCTAGAAGATCTCTGCTGATACAAAGCTGTCATTCTGAGGATAGATCAGTGTTTTATAGTGATTTCTCTCAGGTCATCAGTGACCTCGTACTTAGGTGATGTTGTTTTCATCACCTTGAAATCGAATGTGTCCGAATTCTGATGGTTTAAAAACAGTTGGTGAACAATCTTTTTGGGCAGCATTAAATTCATTTATTGATATTTCCAGAAAGTTTTGCTCCACAGTTCCTTGGCTACCAAGTATTTTCAACTTTTTTCTCACAACAAAAAATGTTCACAAATGTTTTTTTCAAGATATTGAACAAGATAAGAATATGGTTTGATTGTCCTACAGTATAAAGGTTATGATTTGATTGTCCTACACTAGTTATTTGAGGCTTGTATTGTCCACTAATATCAGCTGACTAAAAAAATAAATTTCAAACCACAGAATTTGTAAATATGTCTCTTTACATTTACATGTATCTCCCACAATATTTCACAGGTCAGGGCTTAACTTCAGCATCTTCATCCATTTTGCTGTTCTTATAGAAGGAAGGAGAGGTCAGCCCCCAGGTCTATCTCTTTTGGTTCTGTGTCCCTGGAATAAGGAAGGCATGAATATTTTCTGTTATTCTAAATAAACAACAGTTTCAAAATAACAAACGAAACAAATTGAAATCCTAATATTTTTGTTAACAAAAAATAATACACGCAAACAAAGGGCGATCCAAACAATATACAATGGTAGTGTACTAAAATTCTACAGTCAAGTTTGTGGAACTTCTGCTGTTGATTTTAAGCAGCCAGTTCAATTAATGATATAAAAAAAGTTCTGCTACCTTACGAAAAGCTTTGCCCCATTTTTCCCCATCAGTGTGGCTTTGTCTCCTTCCACCAACAGTACGCAGCCCTCTCTCAACCCCTGTCAACAAAGAAAACAGGATCAAATACTGTCGCTGAGACGAATCATTCACCACTGTGACCATATCTATTCTTTACATTAAAATAAAGCATATATCGCTGGTAAAGAACTTTTTTACATCTGACTTTACAACAACAGTCTGTACTTACCAGTACTGGAGGTGTGTCTGGATATTCATGATACTGTTTGATTCTAGCCTCACGGGTTTCCTTGAGGAAAAATTGAAATAGAAGTTAATTTTGGACACACCATAAGCATCTGAGTTGATAGAATAGAAGTAGAAGATTAGAATGTTTCGATGACTGCACAGTCACCTTCATCAGACAAATGTTCTTATAACACAACCAGTGGAAGATTAGAGTGTGATGTTTGGTGTTGTGCAAGAGATGGTAAGAAATCGACCAAGTTGGTCTGATCTATTGACATTACCAACCTGAAAAAATGTTTGAGCTGATGTTGAACACTTCAATATTTATTACAAATTGTGCTTTATTTCTTTAATCCTATTTACTTCACTTTTTAATGAAAAAAAAACATATTCTAAGGACACATCCCAACAAAATCAAATGGCACCACAGATTGGTCAATATCAATCAAACAGAGCCACAGATTGGTCAATTTCAAAATCAGACATGGCCATGGATTTGTTAATGTCAAAATAAAACAGGGTCATGGATTGGTCATTGTCAATATCAAACAGAGCCACAGATTGGTCAATTTCAAAATCAAACATGGCCATGGATTGGTTAATGTCAAAATCATACAGAGACATGGGTTGGTCAATGTCAAAATCACATATTGTTATGGATCTGTCACTGTTAAAGTCAATGTGTCATTGATGAACAGGGTTGAAATTCAACACAGATATAAAACAAGTTCATCAACATATAATCGGATAAACAAGACACCTCTAAATAAACTATGCAGTAGCAGAGTGCATGTTAAAAGTGCACTTTCATACGCTGATATACCAATTTATTTTCCAGCTGGAACCTAAGAATATTTATCCCTGAAATATATCCTACAATAACTTACCCCCATGTGTGTGCTGCCAGGTGCTGGCTCAATATAGTGGGCATTGATGTTGAAGGGGACAAGGTTTAAAGCAGAGAAGCTTGGTGGGTATACTATTGGCATGTCGTTTGTAGTATTAATGCTACAGGTGGCCACGTTACTCCCAGCGCTTGACCCAATGTATGGTACACCATCCTAAAAATAATAACCATATGTGACAACAGTGTAAAATCATGATAAAACGTATCTTCTGTTCAGAGATTACATGACAATTATCTTAACTATAATAAGAAGTCCCAGAGGGATCTTGACACCCATCATGCAATGTTTGATCTTAATTTGTTTTTTAAAATTTTTTTCTTTTACTTTCTATTCTCATCTTTTCTCTTATTTGTGCTAATAATATGAAATTTGAGAATTCCTTTCAAGAAATAACAATAATAATTTTTGGATTAAAAGGCGATAGTCTGTCAGTATTTAGTTTTTCTGGCAGTCCAAACATCAAAAGGGTACAACAAAAAACCAAGGGAAACCACCATGTGAAATTTCTGACAGATCTATCTTGGACATTTAACTTCCCAAGCTTCAACAAAAATTTCTTGTCAAAATCCAAGATATTTTTTTCTGATCAGTCCCAAAATCAAATACACACAACTAAGGGCCAAGGAGAACCTGCAAATGGAATTTTAGAAAAATCCACCGACTATTTCTCCAGAAATAATAATAACCATTACTATCAAAATCCAGGTTGACCAAGTTTCGGCCATGTTGTTATTTTGGATCAGTCTGAAAATGCACAGCTAAGGACCTAGGGTTCGATCTTACATGTACATATGAAGTTGGAAAGAGATCCGGATATCCAATACTTCTCCATGGATAGTGGTAACAAAAAATTGTTTAATGACAGAAGGACAAGTGATCATGGATGCAGAGCGATTTGAAAAGTCCACCATTTAATAATGATGGGTTAAACATTAATAGAGAGAAAAAAATTTTAAATTCTGTATGTCTGATTCTCCTGTATGTTTGTCGGAGTTAACGAAGAAGTATTGTACAAACCTGTTCAACCCTACGTCTTATCTCCTCCAGCACTCCCTCCTTGTACAAGGTGTCGAGCAGACGGAATGTATTACCTCCTCCTGCAGGAAAAAATAAACCCTGATGGATATTTAAGGATATTAAGCAGGATCTAATTGCCTTAAAGGTAATTCTGGAATATCACATACACAGGCAAAATGAACTTTCGACCTAAGCACAAAATGAAAGTTTTTTGGAAAAAGTAAATAGACTTTAACATTTTTTCTACATTCTGTTCATTTTGGGAAAAGGACTTCATCTTTTCAAACTGACACAGAATCTCTGTTGAAGTGATTTTAAAGATATCAATATAACACATGTCGCAGTATATCTCAAACTGATAAACATTACATGTACTGTACCAATAAAAACCGCTTCAGCTTTTTTCACCGCCTCTACTGCGCTGGGCTGAGTGTGGATACTGTCCAATTCATATCCTACAAATTGGGAGTGAAGCGTAATAGAAATTAAATTAAGAAATACATTTTCTGCAAGAAAGTGCATTATGGTCTACAGTGGCAAAAGGTTGCATGAATGTGTGTATCGGATATGCACTTACCTTACGTGTGTATGAGAGTGAGGTTGAGTTGTCACGACACCTAACTAAGGACAGGCCATATGATTGGTAAGAGCAAGTACCTTAGTTTTTATATATTAATTACCTGTGTAGGGGCTTTGGCCACCTTGGGCACTCTGCTCCTGATCAGTGATGTGCAAGATCTATTTTGGAGTTTGGGAAAAGTCATGTATTTATCTGGTAACATTGTTTTACTCTGTTTACCATATTTTTGGATATCTAATACCTTTGAAAATGTAGGCAATATATTTTATTTTTGTATTTTAATTGAGGTTATGTAAATTTTATCTTTTTCAGTTATTTTCATACAGTGATGGACGTTTTTGGCATTGACTAATTTAAAGGTCAAAGTGAAATTGGGTCTGTAAAGATTTAAAAGTATTTTTTTGTTAAATTCTGTTTCTATGTATTTACATTATGTTTATAAGGCTCCCAAGTATTTATGAGGTATATATATATCACTGCAGTGAAAAACTCCTGGTCGAATCATCCAGAATACCAGCATGGACGGAAAATTCAAAGAAACCTCCACATCATAGCTGTGGGGTGAGTGTCTGACAGGTCCAGGTTTTTTTGTTTTTTTTTCAGCGATATCTGTGTTTCTCACTATTTCATTAACTAGAATTTTAGTAGAGTTTATTTGTAAATTGTGTGAGTAGAAGCATAGGTCTGTAATAAATGATATTTATATGTTTTCAGATTCAGCTGTTCAGATTCGATAGATTTATAAATCATAATACTAATAAATATCATTGTCTATGTATATTTGATAGGGTAGAGTACATCCGTTATATAACAGCAGTTGTCGACAGAGTTATTGCCCTTTTACTATCTCATGTATGGGAGTATGTGAAGTATGATTGTATTTGTTTTGTTGACAGATATTTTTTTGTTTTAAGATGAAGAAATAAACATGAAAAGAATCTAATCAACAAGTTTGTTTTGTAACAAAGTGAATCCTGGTAACAGATATATACTGTGATCTGTCAGCTTAAAATGGTTCACTGCCTCAATCACATTCATTATACATCATTTCATAGAAAATTTCATAACTTTCAAATATATTTAAATACAAATAAATATTTCAAGTATATCCAAATTCAATTATTATGCAGTTTTCTCGTGTATGGTGTAAGAGACAATGCATTTCTCATCGACGGAAAGTGACAAAATTGCCTTGAATTTCAACACATAATACCATAAAGTGTTTGATGCACTAGTTAAAAACATTGCGAATGAAAAAATTGGTCCAAAACCATTAAAATGTAGAATAAGAAAGGGGGAATTTCACCTTTATTTAATTTGAAATATGGTGTACAATATTACAATGAAGTAATATTTCCATAAAAAAGATAGCTAACAATGGCTGACCTTTTCATTGATCTTTAAATCTTTCAAGATGACAGAGATGGATCTAACTCCTTCCATTTTATGTCTTTAACTCGATGTTTTCCACAAACAGTAGATACTGAGACCTGGACCCATATTCATGAAACCGTTCTCATGCTCAAGCATGATATTTTGTGCTCAAGCCTTATGTCTTGTTTAAGTTAAAAATTAATAAATAAGACTGATTTTGCAAAAGATTAAAAAAAAAATTTGAAAGGACTTCAAGTCAAAGTTATATTCAATGTTTATATTTGATATTTGTATTATTTTATATGATTTAGGTGAATTATAAAAAAGTTGCTTGAGCACAAAATCTATGCTTGAGCATGAGAATGGTTTCATGAATACAGACCCTGTATTCAGGTTCTAATAGACATTAAGAATAAACGTTGATACAAACACCACCTACCCATTTCATTGAAGGCCTCCCGTGCAATTTTGGCATATCCATCTCTATCATGTAGAGCATAGGGCACAAACAAAACCCGCTTCACATCTCTGTATTGTAAGGAAATATCTTTGTCACTGCTTTTCAACATAACAAACAGCTACTGATAAGTGTACTTGTACATGATTGTATATACATAAGTATAGACTGAATGTTATCACACACCAACATAATGGAGAGACTACGGTAGAGTTGATATTAAGAGTACCCTACATGCCTGGATATCTGTAAGGATAGGTATTTAGTCACAGTGGCCATGTTTGTAAATACACACCTAGGTAAAAAGATATTCAAGTATCTACGGTTAGGTATATGCTACACTACAATTGTGATTTTTTTTTCTGTATTTCAAGTCTGAATTATTCTAATGTTCTATCAACTATTTTTTATATTGGTCTGAAGTTGACTCCAGACCAATATACAAAAAGTTGATAGAATGTCGGAATAATTCAGACAAATTTTTTCTTGATTTTTCGCAATTAGAGGTTTTCTTGCTTCTTGTTTACCCTTTCGAATCCACATGCAAAAATTTTAGTATGAACCCGTTTCAGTTACTTTACTGTTGTTTTCAACTATTGCTATGAAACTCATCATAAGCTGACAGCTGACACAGGTCAATAATAAGCCAAACTTTAACAAAAGGATAAAGAAACATAGCTTCTTAAATTATGAATTATTTTGTATTGAACATACATAGCCATATACAAAGATTACGAGGAATATTAGTGCTCCTTACCTTACCCCCCAATAAATGTTAAAAAGTTTTACATCCATGACACAAAACTTGCTTACATAGGATGCACCCAAATTACTGATATACTTCGACTGTACAAATGCATTTGTTCTTTTCCATTCAAACTAGTGTGGATTTCTGACTATCACAAAGACATGTGATTGCCAATACATTTACAATCAGTAATTGTTTTTGCAAATATGCCACAACTATAGATCTGGCCCTTGCAATGCTCATGGGAGGTAGCACTCAACAGCGGTTTGCTACTCTCTTTGGAGTTCACAAATTGACTATAAGCCAGTTGGTTTTAAGTCTCAATGCCATTGAAAGAGCTAATGACGTCAAGATCAACAGATTAACAGCAGCCAAAACAGCAAGAAACACCATTGGCAATGGAAACTGTCGAATACATCCAAATACTCTAAGAAATAGACTGAGAGGCAAATTTATGCCAATGTCACCAATATGTTGATTTGCCACTGACACCAAGCAAGTTGTATGCGATGGCGGATGGCAAATGTGCGTAGATATTTTCCTAATAGATGTTGGAGATCCATGCTTTTCGCAAATGTATATTCATTGACATCCTGTTCACGTAATTACGATCACATGGCTGTCAACAAAAAGATGCTTTTGTTTTGGAACACAACAGATTTGCGGGTGGATCTGCAATGATTTTGGGAGGAATTTCTCGTGGTTTACACACACCTTTAGTGATAGTTAACAGAAATTTTAAGGCTGTACTCTATCGAGATGAGATCCTTAGGCCTCATGTTGTTTCTTATATTATAAGGCACCACTTGATCTTTCAGCATAATGCTAGACCAAACATTGCAAAATTTGTAGGGACTTTCTTGCAACCCTGAACATCACCCCTATTAATTTGTCTCCATATAGCCCTGATTTGTCCAAAAGAGAACATGTTTGGGATAAATTAGACAGAAGAGTTCGGAATCAAGCAAACATTCCAGGTAACCTCCGGAAGTTGGCCAATGCACTTAATAAGGAATGGATTGCGGTTATATCAACCTTGTGAACATTAGGGTACCGTACCCTAATTCGTGGCCTGAAGTTCCCATTTATTAAAAATCTCAGGAAATTTGAAGATAGATGGTTAAATATTAAAAGTTAATTCTTGCATTCAACATTTAGACATTTGGCTTAAAAATGTTATCTTATTTAACCCTAAAGTTGAAGTTTAAGTTTTTTCTCCTCTGAGTATATATGTACAACTTGCAGTATTATGCATTTCAACATAAATGCGAAATCATAATATATCTAAATCACATTTTATGAAAAAAAAAATCAATGACAATAGTATTTTGTAAATGAAACATAAAGCTAATTCAGTTTATGTATACATGTACAAACAAGCACAATGTAATTTTACTTTGCGAGTCACATGATGTTCTTGTTCGAGAGATATGAAACAGTTAAAGCCAAGAATGGCTCAGAGGGGTTATATCAAGCTAATAAGTTATTGAGTTTCAAATCGGACACAACATGCTTTATACAATAATAAATAAAGTCGCTACTTTACCAAGCCTGTGTACTTTCGGTTTCGTTGGAATGCAACTGAAAGCAATATTGCGGAATCGAAATGCTTACTTCAGAAATGTTTTTATAAGGGCGCTACAGTGTTCGAGATAACCACTTCCGTGTAGCGTGGAGTTGGAGATCAACAGTAGTCGTCTTGTTCCCATGTTCGTGGCTTCCTCCTCCGTCTGTCACGTGCACGTCTTGCTGCGAACAAAGTGAAAGCGGAAGTGACGTAATCAATAGTACGAAGGTTACCAATTTACTTATGTCCCTGCTGTATATAGTGAGCTAGCATACATCTACACGTTAATGTCAATATGCTGAAGATTGCGTTGATATTAATGGTGTGTACAATACAATGTACTTGGGGAAAATTAACATTCAATTTAAGTTAGCGGGTTGGTTTTAAGGCTTCTAAGAAAGTCGGTTGTGACAAGGTCTGATCAAAGTGAGTTCACGAGTCCTTTGGAATAGTTCTAATGTAATAGGAAAGCATAATGAAAAACGCCCTGCCAGCGCTGTCCGAACTAGCGACCCTTCGGTCTCTAGCCGTACTCTGAAAGGCAATTCTCACTAGCTGAGACTAGTGAGGCGACCTGAACTCTCAACTTCTACATGACTCCCTCGTTCACAAAGTCTTCGACCCCGAAATCAACAACAACCCAGGTTCAATATCTCCAAGGAAGCATCTCAATATCCTATAGTTCTACCCTTGGAGTGGTCACAGCACCAAATCTGTATTAGGAAGGAGTTATGAAAAACACTGCCACCGCCGGGGTTCGAACTAGGGAACACTCTATCGCTAAACCAGGGACGTATAATACATCCATGGCTAAACTAAAGGGAAATTCCCTCAAGCCGAGACTACTAAGGTGATCTGTACTCTGAACTCCTACAAAAGTACCCAACAAGCCAGCTGGGTAAGAGAAAAATAATCATTATCATGAGTAATGAAAAACACCTATGCCACCACTGTTCGAACTAGCGACCCTTTGGTCTCTAGCCGGACACTATCTATAGCTCGTCTAAAGGAAATTCCTGTACTCTCAGTTCTATACTAGTCGGTGATTCAAATGAGTATTTCCGACAGACGGTTTTACAGTATATTGTTTAAAAGGGAATCAAAGGATGAGAGAGACGAGTCTGGCGGATCTGTGTTTTTATGTGAGAAATTTTATACCTACATGTGTCCATGCGTATCGGATCATAGCTTCGCCAGTGCATATATGTCACAACACCAGAAGTATTGTGATATCGGTTGTTAGTGAAAATACGCCAGTGTCGCTCTTCGCTGTACCATACCTAATTTGTGAATGCTGTCTTTTTGGTAGAGAACCCACATATTGTAGAGAAGGACGCTTGAAAATAAGAGAGTTCTGTAACTGTTTATAAATTCACTCGACTTGTGGCACGGTTCAGAAAATACATATATACTTGACGCAGTTCTAAAATTATGTATGAAAATTACGAAATTTATCTAATTATGGGGCTGCTGCACCTCCCCGTCTAGATTCTGACTTTTCTTTTGATCACTTTGGATTCTCCTTAGTTACCTTATTGACTTCATTTTTAGGTCCTAAGCATCGCTGACAAATCCTGGAAAGACGAAACAGCTGTATGATGTAATCTAATTTATTGTTTGGCTCGACTGTAACTCAATCCAAATTATAAAAAGGTCATATTCCCTTGTGTGTGTTATTTTTTTCTTTAAACTTTCATATTTCTAACCTTTTTCAGTGAATTTTCCTGACTTCATTCATGGATCAATTTTAATGTAATTTTGTCCACTTATGGAGAATTGTTTCCTGCTTCGTCTCATAATATTTTCAGTGTTTTCCGTTGTGTATGACCAGGGAAATAATAATTTATTTACAACATACTATTTTCGGGACGCCATTTTGACGCCATTTTGGTAAGCGTATATAGGAAAATGTCGCCACATGGAAAATAGCAGTGAAGATGACTTTGTATTTTTTTTTTTTTTTTTACTCCTGAAATAACGGAAAATAAAATGAATATTATGAGAAGAAACTACGGATATCATTTTACAAAATGGCCAAATACATAGATTGAAATACTGTCAAAATCCATCCCTAACCGAAGTCAAGAAAATTCATTGAAAAAAATAGACATACAAAACAATTCTCGTAAAATAAACAGGAAAAAATAAGATTTTGGCACGTCACTGGTATGTTGCTAATGTGGGAATCCCATTTCAGGCCCTGTTATATTGAACATTACGCAGAAGTCACTGGCTTTATCAGTATGTTGAGACAGCGGCCATATAAGTATTTGTAGATTTATGGGAATGGAATTCCATTTTTCCATCTTTTTCCCAAAACAATTAATTTGTCGAGGTCTTTTTCGTAAAACTGAAGCATCCTTATTGGAAATGACAGTCATATATACAATAATGCCATAGGCGAACAGTCTTACTGTGGAGAATTTAGTATAAAGTATATTGCACGGAGTATAAAGAAACAAACTCGGTCCAAGGACTGCTCCCTGTTGGACACCTGACTCAACTGGTACGGACAGGTAGAATCCCTGTCGAATATTACCAACTATATACTGTTCGTGAGAAAATGTTCTATCCCATTGATAACACTGTCCCTGATCCCATAGTGGTTTAATTTCTGGAGTTTCTAATTTTCAACATTTTTGGAAATGGGTGTATCATAATAAAAAAAAAATCACAGGATCTGGACTGACGGAAGCCCTGGTGTAATGGGTAGACATTATATTAGTGTCAATTATATAAAATTATATAAAAGAAGCTTGCCACAGATACAAGCCTCTATCCGTGCAAATTTCAACTATTTCAATTTACCGTGTTTCAGGCTGTTTAAACTGTCCGTACACACATGTGTACTAAACTAACACGCTGTAAACAAGGTGGCGGTGTTACTTATCCGCAATAATATTCTGAAATTTGTAAATATAGGAAATGTTTAGTGCGATACTGTCATACCAGTTACTGTTGCCAAACATTTAACTAGTCATGCGAACAATATAATATCGTTATTTGCATATCTTCCATCCCATTCATCTCGTTATTATGAACATCATGATTGTGATGTTTTTTTAATAGAATATTCTGAATCCACAAATGTAATTATAATAGGCGATTTAAACAGTCACACGCTTCTAAAGATTTCATTTCATTTGATAATTTACATGTCGGAATAAAATTGCACGTTGAATCTATTTTTAATTATTTTAGTGATACTGATAAAGTAAGGCTTTTGCGAGTTAGTAAGATTCCCGATCCAGGAGGTTACGATTTTGGTACTATTAAACCTTCGTAAATCCTCTGGTCTACGGATACGTATGATTTACTTTAACGTGTTTAACATGATTAAAAAGTTCATGGTTAGCAAATTTGTTGAATTCTCTGGCCAAGCTTCTTTGCGCTTTGAAATACGCTGTAATACCTTCGCTATGGGATTTGAAGTCGATGATGATGAACTTATGACAGACCTGTGTTTAAATGGAACGCCTAGTAACACCACCATTTTACGGAATCTGTTAGACTTAAATTAGATTCTTTAACAGAGTCAGTTTTAATCTACGATGATGTAAATCAAGATTCTACAGATACATGTGTTAGTAATTTAACTAATGTTCTACTTGGTATAATGCGATCATTTTTTTTTCAAAATATACCTTCCAATAATACCATGGGTACCATGTAAATCTTAATTCCAATTCTGTTTCTAGTTCCAGTGATAAACAATTGTTTAATGATCGTTTGAAAGTTCTGCGTAAGCAATACTTAGTAGCTTTAAATAATTTGAATTTTTCAATTTTAACAAATGTCACTCGACGCATGCTGTTCTCACAAGTAAGGAAAAGGAGTATAAAATAATGGAAAGTTAAAAAGGCAAAATCAGTGTCGAAGGAGATATGTTGGAATATTGGAGAAGATATAATCCAAGGTCCTTTTATTTTAAAAAATGGAAAGAATAATGTGGCTTCGCCTTTGTTAAAGTGCAGTCAACGGTATAGTCACTTTAAAAGTTTGTCTTTTGTCCACAATTACATTCAATTTTATTTCATTCCGTATGCAACAACATATAAGATTGAGAATATATATATAAATAATAACATTTACATTTACACAAGATGACGGAGAACATTAGCTATAACCAACAAGATTAACACACAAATTTCATAAATACGCATAAATATCAAGCAAATTTTAACAGAGCGGTATTCTGAAGCACCAGTATTCGGAAGTGTTATTTGTGACAAATGAAAATGTATAGATTGATTAAGAAACACTCAATTGCTCAGAAATATCTCGAATAGCATACGTAAACAATTATTCAAGTATTTAATGATGCACGGTTTGGATTTCGCCCTGAAGTCAGTACGATTGGTACTATTTTTGCATTACACTCTGTAATAACTAAAACCTTGTCTTCAAATAGGCGGTTAAGCTGTTGTTTCGTAGACTTTCGTGAAGCGTTAGATTTTGTCGATAGAATAAGCGTATGGCGCAAGCTGACAAAGCTTGATATTCGAGGGAAACTGCTTTCTGTCATAAGGTCACTACATAAATCAATTAAACCTTGTGTCTCAATTAAAGGGAAATGTTCCAATTATTTTGAGAACATTTTTGGATTAATACAAGGGGAAATATTATCACCTATATTGTTTTCACTTGTTATTAATAATTTAGAAATTTCATTCATTGAAAATGGAGCAATTGATTACAATTTTGGTGAATTAAGTTTATTTCTGTTAATGTATACTGATGATTTTGTAACGTTTTCCTAAGCCATTGAAGGTTTGCACAGTCTTCTAGATAGTCTTCATGATTATTCCACAGCATGGAAACTGACAGTTAATACAGAGAAAACAAAAATTGTTGTATTAAGAAATGGAGGTCGTATACATGATAGAGAATCGTGGACTTCCATCAGATACAAAAACAGTTGGCTGACCAGGGACGTAAAGCTATGTTTGAACTTTTCTCAATTTTTTTTTTCTAACTTTAGTCTAAATTGCAAAATCTTATTACATTTATTTGATACATATGTTTGCAGAATATCGCACTATGCGTGTGATGTTTGGGGTTCTTCAGAGGGTATTGATACAGAAAATGTCCATTTATTGTTTTGTAAGGAAATTTTAAAAGTTAAGATGTAATGCAATGGTTTATTTTTAATTAGACCGATATCCATAAGAATTCATAAGAACGTATAGAATGATAAAATACTGGTTAATCCAATGTTTTCGAATAACTATTTTGAGCGTATTTTTAAATAATGGTAATATAGGTAATTGTTTTAACTAGGTAAATCATGTTAAACTTTGTCTTTTTTCTCTCGGCTTCGGAGATGCTTATGCTTATAATTATAAAGGTATTTTGTATTTGATAAAGCAAAGAGTTTTTGACCAAAGTCAGCAGCATCTGAGAGGATTACTGGAGTCCTCGTTTAAATGTACTTTTTTATATTTGAGGCCAAAAAAGAACGGCCATAACTGATATAATAATTATCATAGATCATATCTGTATTTACTAGTCGGTGTGTCAAGTTTAAATTTTAAGAGTATGACGAATATATATTGTAGTCATTTCTCGTTATGTTAGTAACACTGTATTTGTTGTTAATGATGATGATGATGATGATGATGATGATGATGATGATGATGATGATGATGATGATGATGATGATGACCAATTGATGATGATGATGATGACGACGACGATGACGACGACGACGACGACGACGACGATGATGACGACGACGACGACGACGACAAAGAAGAAGAATTGACGACGACGAATTGATGATGAGTACGGTGATGATGATGACGATGACGACGATGATGATGACGACGACGAATTGATGACGACGATGATGATAATTATGTTAATCATTTGACAACTCTATGTATATATTAGTTGACAATGATCTTATATGCACGATTATTCTTCAATGCATATCATCAAGTTATGTAATACCATCTATAAAATTATATATTTCCAACAAGTTGATAATGATGGAGTAAGGACGACCGTTGAATGTATGCTATGTTATATGGCATTTGTAAAATTCTTACATATCCAATAAGTTGTAAAAACTCACGGAATAAAATTGAATCGAATTATGTACATTGTCGTGAATACATGAGTACATGTGTGTATAGCGCATGATCGAAGCCTTTTACGATTGGATTAAGGTTCTGGAGTAATATGACATCATATGACAATTTTTGAAAAGACTGGTTAATAGGTTTCGCCACACATTTGTTTTAACTACGTGAAAGATATCCAAACATTTTTATCGTGACCAAATAAAACACATGGTAACAAGGGAAAGACGAGAAGGTAATGATAATGTACTATTCGTGAAAAAGAACAGTTTTAAAGCTCACGATGTACTTAACATCACACGTACAGATATACAGGTGTTTATTAGAGAGCTCATAAGTAGGTCACTGATACACCTTATCTTTTTATAGTATGATGCAAGTTTATCTAGTTATACTAAGTATTCAAAAATAATAAGACCGTCTTATATTACTAAACCAGCCAGCTGGCCTGTGTCCTCGTATCATAATAAAATCATTCCAGAAAAACAAGGTTATCTTGGCCGGGGCTCCAAGTTACAGGCCATCCGATAATTCTGTAGACCGTATTATTCTGACAGGTCCGAACTTTTTTTTATTTTCTCCATGACTCCGGGGCCTGGCATCGCCGCAGTAGTCAATATCTTAAACAACATAATTGGAAATTTGTGATATTTCAAAGAAGGCATATCAACTGAAATAAACACGCTAAGATGATTTTTATTTGGTATTTAGTGTGTGTGTGTGTGTATGTGTGCACGTGTTTCTTTTTTTAAACATTATTCGGGGTATCTCGGGATTGTACATTAACGTTATAAGCGTCTATTTCGCAAGCGGTTAGTGGCCTCTTGATCTTGTTCTATTAGAATTGTGTCAACCGCAGTGTATTGGTGTGGTGAAGTAATTGTCTGGTCATGGCCTGGACTGTGGTTTTATTATTGACAATATGTGTGTGTTTGACTTATGGTCAACAGGATTTATATTCCAATGTCATGGAGGGGTTACATACTCTGCCAGAACAAGCAGCACAAAGCCGACTTCTCCAGTCACAGATAATGAATTCGGATTACACACAGCCGGGAGTTCGGCTTTTCTCTATGATCTCACAGCTGTCCCCATTGAATAGGGACAGCTTTCTTGAGTCTCTGGAAGCCTTGCTCCCCCTCCTCAGGACTATAACCAAGTATAATGTCACAGAAACATGCCTCAATCACACCGAAAAATACGTCATGGGTTTATTGAATCGAAAGATGTGGAGTCTCAGAAGTAAGTACAATGCATATTGGAGATAAATATTACTTGGAACTTCATATTTTTGACACAAATCGTTTTCCAAAAACGTCATTTCACAATGTCCCATATATTGATCCGTGTCACGAACCACACCACGCCTGTGTCCACACATGTTAAAAATAAAACGTCCCTTATATTGACCTTATTGCCATCACCTCCGGCAGTGTCATTAACCTGACCAGAGACGTGTGTTATATACGTCTCTGACCTGACGAAAAACAATGTATCTGCATTGTTGTAGTAGATGTATGTTCCGTCACATATATTTTATCAATGCTCATATTTCACACATTGTTGCAAGTTGTTTAGATACAAGAAAATCCAGGGGTATATAATACAATATATAAGAAGATACATGGGCATATGCTTATATTTACATACTTTTGTCTATATATGGGTTTCAAATTTAAATGCTGTTCTTTGTTGAAAGTAAAACGCAAACCTGGCACCAGTCACAAAGTTTGACGTTCATATTAATTCCATCAAATGATATTATATTACAGCAAATGAGGTTAGCAGTTACGACAAACTTCTTCAGGAAGTCCATAAATGTTTGCAATGACAATTACTAAAATATCTCACATTTTCTACATTGAAATCCTAAATCATACGATAGTTTCATCAACTTAACAAACAAAATCCTTGTTTTATTTTCAACAATTTCAAATATTTTTTCATGGGCTAAAATTTTGTGGTTTTACAAAAATTTACATTTTCACTGGCACTTTATTTTGTGGATAAATTTTTAGAAATGCATCAGTGTTAAAACTCTCTATCATATCACAGACACATAAGTTTGTGGATTCTAACTATACCCATGGACTAAATGAAAATTAATCTTGAAATTTATCAATTTTACGGTAGGCACGCAAGTTCTTACAGGCAGAAAATTGAAAATGAAGGACTTGTTTGACAACTCTGACGGACTTTAGAAGATTATTATGTATGCCAATATTTTTTAAAATTCTGATAAGAGAGTTAAGTGGTTACGAAATGAATGATGGAAACAGTGATATAAGTTCAAATTTTTATATGTTTTTCTTTTTTTGATATGGTTAACAAGACTTTAATAGCAGTTTCAAGGAGAAAAGAATTGTATGGAAAAAATTATGTACCTAAGTTTTCACTTGATATGCAAACTTACCTGGCGATTAAAGTTGATGTGTGACGTAACTTTTTTTGATGTTTAAATCAAAATCTCATTCTGATAGCACATGGTTGGTACCATTACCCAAATTTAATTTTTTAGAAAAATTATTGAATGTGTTGGATATAAACTAGCAAGTCGTGAAATAATCTTACAAATGTTTAATACTGATGTAAAAGAATTTTTGGTTATGTATCGTGCGGAGAACCTGGTGGCCATTGCTCGCCTGCCGAGAGAAATCCTTTTATATTCTGAACTCCCTTGCATCAACTGTTGTTCCCAATTTCTTTTTTAATAGATATCACTTTTTATTCTATTTTTCTAAATGTCTACTTGCTATGACCCAAAAATGTTTGTGAAATAATCTATGCAAACCTAATCTTTCTCTTTACAAAGTAAAATTTTGAATTAAATCATCTTGATGTAAAAAGAAAGAAAATGATATGATTTTACTGAGGTTGGGGAGCTAATTTAAAGCCCATTGTTCAATTACTTGTATCATGTAATGGCCGACAAGAGCCTGACAAAATATTAATTTCCATATCTTATTGTGCCACAGTAATTTTAGTAAGGTATACAAACATTTGAATTTTCATATCGTATTGTGCCACAGTAATTTTAGTAAGGTATACAAAGATTTGAATTTTCATATCTTATTGTGCCACAGTATTTTTAGTAAGGTATACAAAGAGTTGAATTTTCATATCTTATTGTGCCACGGTAATTTTAGTAAGGTATACAAAACATTTGAATTTTCATATCTTATTGTGCCACGGTATTTTTAGTAAGGTATACAAAACATTTGAATTTTCATATCTTATTGTGCCATGGTATTTTTAGTAAGGTATACAAAACATTTGAATTTTCATATCTTATTGTGCCACGGTAATTTTAGTAAGGTATACAAAACATTTGAATTTTCATATCTTATTGTGCCACGGTAATTTTAGTAAGGTATACAAACATTTGAATTTTCATATCTTATTGTGCCACGGTAATTTTAGTAAGGTACACAAACATTTGAATTTTCATATCTTATTGTACCACGGTAATTTTAGTAAGGTATACAAACATTTGAATTTTCATATCTTAATGTGCCACGGTAATTTTAGTAAGGTATACAAAACATTTGAATTTTCATATCTTATTGTGCCACGATAATTTTAGTAAGGTATACAAACATTTGAATTTTCATATCATATTGTGCCATGGTAATTTTAGTAAGGTGTACAAAGATTTGAATTTTCATATCTTATTGTGCCACAGTAATTTTAGTAAGGTGTACAAAGATTTGAATTTTCATATCTTATTGTGCCACAGTAATTTTAGTAAGGTGTACAAAGATTTGAATTTTCATATCTTATTGTGCCACGGTAATTTTAGTAAGGTATACAAACATTTGAATTTTCATATCTTATTGTGCCACAGTAATTTTAGTAAGGTGTACAAAGATTTGAATTTTCATATCTTATTGTGCCACGGTAATTTTAGTAAGGTATACAAAGATTTGAATTTTCATATCTTATTGTGCCACGGTAATTTTAGTAAGGTATACAAAACATTTGAATTTTCATATCTTATTGTGCCACGGTAATTTTAGTAAGGCATACAAAGATTTGAATTTTCATATCTTATTGTGCCACAGTAATTTTAGTAAGGTATACAAAGATTTGAATTTTCATATCTTATTGTGCCACGGTATTTTTAGTAAGGTATACAAAGAGTTGAATTTTCATATCTTATTGTGCCACGGTAATTTTAGTAAGGTATACAAAACATTTGAATTTTCATATCTTATTGTGCCACGGTAATTTTAGTAAGGTATACAAACATTTGAATTTTCATATCTTATTGTGCCACAGTAATTTTAGTAAGGTGTACAAAGATTTGAATTTTCATATCTTATTGTGCCACAGTAATTTTAGTAAGGTATACAAAGATTTGAATTTTCATATCTTAATGTGCCACGGTAATTTTAGTAAGGTATACAAACATTTGAATTTTCATATCTTATTGTGCCACGGTAATTTTAGTAAGGCATACAAAGATTTGAATTTTCATATCTTATTGTGCCACAGTAATTTTAGTAAGGTATACAAAGATTTGAATTTTCATATCTTATTGTGCCACGGTATTTTTAGTAAGGTATACAAAGAGTTGAATTTTCATATCTTATTGTGCCACGGTAATTTTAGTAAGGTATACAAAACATTTGAATTTTCATATCTTATTGTGCCATGGTATTTTTAGTAAGGTATACAAAACATTTGAATTTTCATATCTTATTGTGCCACGGTAATTTTAGTAAGGTATACAAAACATTTGAATTTTCATATCTTATTGTGCCACGGTAATTTTAGTAAGGTATACAAACATTTGAATTTTCGTATCTTATTGTGCCATGGTAATTTTGGTAAGGTATACAAAGAGTTGAATTTTCATATCTTATTGTGCCACGGTAATTTTAGTAAGGTATACAAACATTTGAATTTTCATATCTTATTGTACCACGGTAATTTTAGTAAGGTATACAAACATTTGAATTTTCATATCTTAATGTGCCACGGTAATTTTAGTAAGGTATACAAAACATTTGAATTTTCATATCTTATTGTGCCACGGTAATTTTAGTAAGGTATACAAACATTTGAATTTTCATATCTTATTGTGCCATGGTAATTTTAGTAAGGTGTACAAAGATTTGAATTTTCATATCTTATTGTGCCACAGTAATTTTAGTAAGGTGTACAAAGATTTGAATTTTCATATCTTATTGTGCCACAGTAATTTTAGTAAGGTGTACAAAGATTTGAATTTTCATATCTTATTGTGCCACGGTAATTTTAGTAAGGTATACAAACATTTGAATTTTCATATCTTATTGTGCCACAGTAATTTTAGTAAGGTGTACAAAGATTTGAATTTTCATATCTTAATGTGCCACGGTAATTTTAGTAAGGTATACAAACATTTGAATTTTCATATCTTTCTGTACCCAAAAAATAAAGTGTACCAAAAAGATATATGAATATAGAAATATTTGTGCACCATAGAAAAGTATACTGTGGTAGAAAAGGATATGAAAATTCAAATCTGTGTATTGTAGAAAAGTGTACCCTGGTACAAACTGATAGGAGAATTAAAATCAGATGTAGACAAGTGAAGGTAAGTGAATGTAGATAATGATTTATGTTCTGTATTTTCTATTAATGCATGGACTTGTGATCCAGCTGCGAGAGGCTGAATGATAGCTGTTTACTTGTAGAGTGTGTCTTCATATAAATACATATATATTTTTATTAAAATGACTTCAGACAACCCGCCAAATTAAGGATAAGCAGTTTTATTTCTGGATCTTCATAAAGATGCAGAAATGAAAACGCTAATTCCTAATATGATGTGTTGTTTGAAGTTATATCAATATATTTCACCGCACACTGCACACAAGGGGTCTTACTGTGGGAGGAAAGCGGATTACACCAGTTTTTCCAACTTGTATTAATTACTCTTGTTGGCCTGGAAGCACACAAGGGGTCTTACTGTGGGAGGAAATCGGATTACACCGGGAAAACCCACAGGTTCGAGCAGGTGGTCCCATACCTTTTTGCATCCATTCCAGGAATCGAACCGTGGACGGCTAGGTGAAAGGCCAGTGCGTTACCACTGCATCACCTGACCACCCAAAGTCAAAGATTGATATCAAACTGAAAATTTCAGTTTCATACTGTAAAGGCATACTGACATGGTTACAAAAAATTAAGTGCATGATCAGATATGTCTTGGTCAAATTTTAAATCAGTTGATATTAAGTGGTAAATATTTTTTCTATGATATGATGAATCAATAGTGATTTGAGTTGAATGTGCACATGACCATATAATGAACAGGAATTAGAGGTGGGTGTTTTTGTTCATTTAAACAAAACAATTTTCTAGAAATTTTTTGCACATTACTAGCCTCACTGCAGGTTAAAGTCAAGAAATATATAAAAGCTACGTTGTAAGATTTGACGGACTCTACTTGATTTTAGAAAGATATGCCCAATTATCTTTAGTGTATGTGGCGTTACGTGCACCCATGTCAATATGTTAGTAGCACAGGTGGGTATATGTGTACCAGCTGCTATGCACTATCACAGGTCTAGATCTATTACCATATCATTGTCACTGTTTGTATGTGCATGTGATAAGTGTCTCCATTAAGTTGCTCTCTAACATAACTTTTACAATGTGTATCATTTTTTCAGGATTTAACACTCCAGTATATATCTGTACTATTACCTTTATCCCTTGTTTTCGCATCAGTATCTATCATTTATAGGCCAAGATACACAATAGAAGAACGTGCGTACAGGTCTATTTGTGTGTATCTCATAATCTAAACATAAGCTCTGTTGAGCCGTTACTGCAACAATCAAATGTACAAAAAGCAAGGTATTTATGACAAAATTCAGAAAACAATATGGTTTACATTGTAAACTGTACAACAGAATTAAGTTGAAATCATAGCTTGCAGTTATTAATCAAATTAGCATAGACATGGCAGACTAAGCAGGAAGTTATAAGAACATATATAAAAGGATGGTTTAGGATGATGTAACAAAAACTTTTACATTAAAAATGATGATTCATATATGTACATCCAGCATGAATGCCTATTTGGCAAGATTTCAGAGTTGACTGAAGACATGCTTTTATAGCATGAATTAAATTGACAAATGAGGTTACATACATTGAGAAATGAAGATATAGCATTTTTGTTGTCCTTTCAGATCCAAAAAATGTGAAACAGAAAGTCTTTCAAGTGTTAGTTGGCTTCTTCTTCAATTAGCATATGTCTTGTTTGAGGTAGATGTTCTGGGTAGATAAAAAGTTTTACTGCCTCATAAACAGTTAATATTGAATTTGTGCAAATAACCAAAAATTCATACATCGTTATTTTTTAAGATATAGAAACAATAAAACAGGCTTTGGCAGTCTGTGCATAATGCACCCCACCTTTAACTTATAGGATTGCTCCATTTAATCTTAATTTTACAAATCTTTCATCAATGAAATAGTTTATAATGTTTATTGGTGTATATCAATTGAAACAGAATCTTGTTTTTTTTTAAAAATCTTACCTAAACTCTGTATGTATATGGCACATATATAATGTTGTACAGTATGTATGATGTTCTCAGTTGTAAATGAAAATTTTCAGTATCTTTTGAATTTTTTGAATGAGGGAGTGAAATATAAAGAGGAAAGAGATTATATAGCATATTGATACCTGAATTGCTAACAGACTCATGATTGTGAACGTCTTCTGTAGTCAGTGCTAAATGCTGACCTTCTTATGTAAACAATTCAGTTGCTTGGTTCTATAGAAATCACTTGTACCTGTCATACATAGATATGAACTTTGGTTAATAGTCACATGTTACAAAAGCTCCAGGACAGATATTGAAGCAGACTGACTTAAGGCACCTGAGGGGGGATAATTTGATATCAAAATCAATGATAAGCTTAATGTGTAAAATCAAATTTATGCTATATTGATTAGTCAAAACCTTCTTGTGAACAAATTTAGTGTATTAGATATAAAGTTTAATACCTGTGGATGTGTTTGCAAATCTATAATGATATATACAGATAAAGTCAATTCCCACATAACTGATTATAAGTGTCGATGGAGTGTCTCATTTAATTGCATCTATACGACTTTTTTGTGTCACATTCTTCTCTAAATATAGGAATGGTCCTTAAACATTTTGTCACCTTCATAATTGTAATAGTTATAGTAACCATTTGTCTCACTATTAAAGTATGATTTATAGATTTGGAAACTCTATAAAATGAGGTACATGTATATCAGTCATTGGTAGCCAGTGTAAAAGAATCTACAACTCTGAGGTGATGGGTTTTAGTTCTGATTCGAATATCATTACAGTTTTATTCCCCAGGTGTTCAATGTAACTTCCTATTTCTCTGTAGTAACATACCAGCCTAATCTAGTAATGGCAATATATATTCAGATTGATAATTCACTACTTTATTTACTAGAAGAATCTAAATAGTTCTTCCCATTAAATGATAAATCAAGAGGGCAAAACCTTTATTTATTTAATTAGTAAATTTATTTATTTATTTACAGGCATTAAGTCCTCCTTTTGAGGTCTTCATTATCTTTAGTAAATGTACTATATTGATATTTCTGTATAAATAAGTACACCTGTATTATCCTTGCTTCAGTGTTGGATGCTGCAGGCAAGCCTGGAACTGGTCTCTTGAATTTCAACTTGAACTGGTATGGATCTTATGAAGAATGTACAAATATCACTCTCCCAGAATTCCGTGGAAAATACTGCTCTGTTAACTTTCCTTTGGTTAAATCTAGTGCAACACAAAGTCCTGTAAGTACATATTTAATTTTATAAATCTTAATGTGCTTCTTCTGTATTCAAATGTCCTTTAATTTCTTCATAAAACATCAGCTCATTTTTCTGTAATTGATTATTCTATGAAGAAAGAGCATCTACACATTCACCTGTCATAACTTGTTCTTCCTAGAAAGAACATCTACAGATTCACTTGTAATTACTTGTTCTTCCTAGAAACAACATCCGCCGGTTCACCTGTAATTACTTGTTTTCCATAGAAACAACATCCACCGGTTCACCTGTAATTACTTGTTTTCCTTAGAAACAACAACCACAGGTTCACCTGTAATTACTTCCTTTTCCTAAAAACAACATCCACAGGTTCACCTGTAATTACTTCCTTTTCTTAGAAACAACATCCACAGGTTCACCTGTAATTACTTTCTTTTCCTAAAAACAACATCCACAGGTTCACCTGTAATTACTTCCTTTTCCTAAAAACAATATCCACAGGTTCGCCTGTAATTACTTGTTTTCCTTAGAAACAACATCCGCAGGTTCACCTGTAATTACTTCCTTTTCCTAAAAACAACATCCACAGGTTCACCTGTAATTACTTCCTTTTCCTAAAAACAACATCCACAGGTTCACCTGTAATTACTTCCTTTTCCTAAAAACAACATCCACAGGTTCACCTGTAATTACTTCCTTTTCTTAGAAACAACATCCGCAGGTTCACCTGTAATTACTTCCTTTTCCTAAAAACAACATCCACAGGTTCACCTGTAATTACTTCCTTTTCCTAAAAACAACATCCACAGGTTCACCTGTAATTACTTCCTTTTCCTAAAAACAACATCCACAGGTTCACCTGTAATTACTTCCTTTTCCTAAAAACAACATCCACAGGTTCACCTGTAATTACTTCCTTTTCCTAAAAACAACATCCACAGGTTCACCTGTAATTACTTCCTTTTCCTAAAAACAACATCCACAGGTTCACCTGTAATTACTTCCTTTTCCTAAAAACAACATCCACAGGTTCACCTGTAATTACTTCCTTTTCCTAAAAACAACATCCACAGGTTCACCTGTAATTACTTCCTTTTCCTTAGAAACAACATCCACAGGTTCACCTGTAATTACTTTCTTTTCCTAAAAACAACATCCACAGGTTCACCTGTAATTACTTCCTTTTCCTAAAAACAACATCCACAGGTTCACCTGTAATTACTTCCTTTTCCTAAAAACAACATCCACAGGTTCACCTGTAATTACTTCCTTTTCCTAAAAACAACATCCACAGGTTCACCTGTAATTACTTCCTTTTCCTAAAAACAACTTCCACAGGTTCACCTGTAATTACTTCCTTTTCCTAAAAACAACATCCACAGGTTCACCTGTAATTACTTCCTTTTCCTAAAAACAACATCCACAGGTTCACCTGTAATTACTTCCTTTTCCTAAAAACAACATCCACAGGTTCACCTGTAATTACTTCCTTTTCCTAAAAACAACATCCACAGGTTCACCTGTAATTACTTTCTTTTCCTAAAAACAACATCCACAGGTTCACCTGTAATTACTTCCTTTTCCTAAAAACAACATCCACAGGTTCACCTGTAATTACTTGTTTTCCTTAGAAACAACATCCACAGGTTCACCTGTAATTACTTCCTTTTCCTAAAAACAACTTCCACAGGTTCACCTGTAATTACTTCCTTTTCCTAAAAACAACATCCACAGGTTCACCTGTAATTACTTCCTTTTCCTAAAAACAACATCCACAGGTTCACCTGTAATTACTTCCTTTTCCTAAAAACAACATCCACAGGTTCACCTGTAATTACTTCCTTTTCCTAAAAACAACATCCACAGGTTCACCTGTAATTACTTCCTTTTCCTAAAAACAACATCAACAGGTTCACCTGTAATTACTTCCTTTTCCTAAAAACAACATCCACAGGTTCACCTGTAATTACTTCCTTTTCCTAAAAACAACATCCACAGGTTCACCTGTAATTACTTCCTTTTCCTAAAAACAACATCCACAGGTTCACCTGTAATTACTTCCTTTTCCTAAAAACAAATCCACAGGTTCACCTGTAATTATAAAAACAACATCCACAGGTTCACCTGTAATTACTTCCTTTTCCTAAAAACAACATCCACAGGTTCACCTGTAATTACTTCCTTTTCCTAAAAACAACATCCACAGGTTCACCTGTAATTACTTCCTTTTCCTAAAAACAACATCCACAGGTTCACCTGTAATTACTTCCTTTTCCTAAAAACAACATCCACAGGTTCACCTGTAATTACTTCCTTTTCCTAAAAACAACATCCACAGGTTCCACTAAAAACAACATCCGCCGGTTCACCTGTAATTACCTTTTTTCCATAGAAACAACATCCACCGGTTCACTTGTAATTACTTCCTTTTCCTAAAAACAACATCCACAGGTTCACCTGTAATTACTTCCTTTTCCTAAAAACAACATCCACCGGTTCACCTGTAATTACTTCCTTTTCCTAAAAACAACATCCACAGGTTCACCTGTAATTACTTCCTTTTCCTAAAAACAACTTCCACAGGTTCACCTGTAATTACCTGTAATTACTTGTTTTCCTTAGAAACAACATCCGCAGGTTCACCTGTAATTACTTCCTTTTCCTAAAAACAACATCCACAGGTTCACCTGTAATTACTTCCTTTTCTTAGAAACAACATCCGCAGGTTCACCTGTAATTACTTCCTTTTCCTAAAAACAACATCCACAGGTTCACCTGTAATTACTTCCTTTTCCTATAAACAACATCCACAGGTTCACCTGTAATTACTTCCTTTTCCTAAAAACAACATCCACAGGTTCACCTGTAATTACTTCCTTTTCCTAGAAACAACATCCACAGGTTCACCTGTAATTACTTCCTTTTCCTAAAAACAACATCCACAGGTTCACCTGTAATTACTTCCTTTTCTTAGAAACAACATCCGCAGGTTCACCTGTAATTACTTCCTTTTCCTAGGAACAACATCCACAGGTTCACCTGTAATTACTTCCTTTTCTTAGAAACAACATCTGCAGTTTCACCTGTAATTACTTCCTTTTCCTAGAAACAACATCCACAGGTTCACCTGTAATTACTTCCTTTTCCTAGGAACAACATCCGCAGGTTCACCTGTAATTACTTCCTTTTCCTAGAAACAACATCCACAGGTTCACCTGTAATTACTTCCTTTTCTTAGAAACAACATCCGCAGGTTCACCTGTAATTACTTCCTTTTCCTAGAAACAACATCCACAGGTTCACCTGTAATTACTTCCTTTTCCTAGGAACAACATCTGCAGGTTCACCTGTAATTACTTCCTTTTCCTAAAAACAACATCCGCAGGTTCACCTGTAATTACTTCCTTTTCCTAGAAACAACATCCACAGGTTCACCTGTAATTACTTCCTTTTCCTAAAAACAACATCCACAGGTTCACCTGTAATTACTTCCTTTTCCTAAAAACAACATCCACAGGTTCACCTGTAATTACTTCCTTTTCCTAGGAACAACATCCGCCGGTTCACCTGTAATTTCTTGTTTTCCTTAGAAACAACATCCACAGGTTCACCTGTAATTACTTCTTTTCCTAAAAACAACTTCCACAGGTTCACCTGTAATTACTTCCTTTTCCTAGGAACAACATCCGCAGGTTCACCTGTAATTACTTCCTTTTCCTAAAAACAACATCCACAGGTTCACCTGTAATTACTTCCTTTTCTTAGAAACAACATCCGCAGGTTCACCTGTAATTACTTCCTTTTCCTAGGAACAACATCCACAGGTTCACCTGTAATTACTTCCTTTTCCTAAAAACAACTTATATATGTGATATTCAAGGCTTGGCAAAGTAGAACTTTAAATATGTTTTCCATGTATCATATTTCTCTTAGGTTGCTCTGGGAATCAAAGCTGGTATCAACATTGGTGTTTGTATGCCTAGTAGCTGTAGTGGACAAGATGTTTCAAACCTCATCAATTCAGGTAAAAAAATGAATGATCATAGTCTGTCAAAACAAATATAAACTTATTTAGCAATAAGCCAATGTCTGGTAATAAGCCCAATCTATTATTGCATTGCTGCTCAGCTGAATTAGAATTACCAATGAATACTATTTAATCGTCATGCAGTAAGCCCCACCCCTGGCCCCGACCCCATAAATTTAAGTTCATGGTAAACCCCCTCTAGTTTTATTGTGGGACAAATGTTGACCACAGTAAGACATTCAATGCTTCTTGTAAAACATACATTGGATTTCTCAAAGCATAGTTTTATAGGGAGTTAAATTTCAATTGCAGGGCAATTCAAACACAATTTATTTTAGATCAGGTCTGTTGAATGTGTTAAGTACATAGGACAGGAAAAATGTAGAAAGAAATGTCCTTTTAACTGAAATTGGACAAATTTAGAAAGATGAATATTGCATATTTAGTTTCAATGATCTGTAAGAGTATTTTATGATAGGTTAAGTATGTACATAGTAGTTTTCTTAAGCGGAATATACATGTAACACTATTGAATTAGGCAGGTGGATTACTGTGTGGATTACTATGTGCTGATAGTTATGTGGTTTTGAGTGCTTTTATTTCTACAAGTATATGTTGATTGTAAAACTGACGAAGCTCGGAACATTATACTGTATATTGTTTATTTAACATGCTATAATGTTTTGACGTTAGTAAGCCTTACCCAAAAGTGCAGTGTGAAAATTGGAAAAAAGAGGTGATTTAAAATACATAAACATGTCTTTCAAAAAATACATATAAATGAAAGGTACCCTTATCTAAACATTAAGTTCATACTTCAAAAGTTTTACAAATGATATACACAAAATGAAACACAAATACATTGTGTGACGTCAACATTCAACATTCAACATCATCAGCCCATATTAATATATCTGGGGAAGGATTTAAAGGAATTCCTAGCATGTTTTCTAATCTAACTTGTACTGGCATGTATATTTCAACATTGTTTGAATAGTGAATAAATCATCATTGATATTATACTATGTTTAGGAACAATTCCACAAGATATTGACCTGCCTATATATTTATAAGTTTCACATATTTTTATGGATTTGCTGTTTGCCTGGTTTATTACCACACCAAATTGTTAACTATTTCTTCAAAACCACTGGAAAGATATTTCCCAAACTTGATGTAGTATGTTACCTGGTTCCGAGTTCGTCTCATATTATTTTGTGTGTGCTTAAGAATACAAAAATGGATGACTGGAAACCATCTTGGATTTTGATAGTTGAAGTATATTATCACTGTCTCTCCAAAAGTTCTTGTTAGTTCTGATATAAGAATATATTTTATATATATATACTTACCCTGTCATTAAATGATAAGAAGAAAAAGGGGAAAGAAGGGAAAAATAGAGAAAAGTTCACTCTTTCATAGAACTGATAAAAGTTATTCGATATTGGGCACCAAGATTTCTCAGAGATCTCTTGTTTAATTATGGCCGTGTTATTTTTCAGTGTTTATTGTGATTACCGGTTTCATAATTCAAGAAATATGAAACAAAATGTCTTTCATGGAAAAAATGATTTAAATGATAGATTAGATAAACCTGCTGCTGTTTTTTCTTCTCAGTATTTTTTCTTTTTTTCCCTCAGTGTTTTCTGTGACGGTTGATTCTATCAACATTGGGAATGCCAGTTTGGATGCTGGACAAACTATTTGTCAGGAATATGACCTGAAGCTAGATACGAAAGCCATTGTGGTGACGTAAGTGTTCCTGTGTGTGTCATTACCTGGTGTATTTTTGTGATAAGTGTCACGGTATATAATTTTGTACAGGTCTGTGATATATCAATAAGGAATCCTTTAAATATTTAAGATTTTATGTCAGAACACTAATCTTTGAACTATAATTAAAAATCTGAAAATTTAATATAGTCTTAAAGTCAGGTCCCCATCACCTCTGTATTAGCTGCTAATTGTGAGTTCTGAGGTTCCTAAGGGTCAGCACTGATCCATTCCCCATGATCCTTTGTGGTCCTTTACAGGGTGATATCCAGTATATTCCTCGCCTTTTTGGTGATTGCTACTTTGTATGATCTGGTGTGCATACAATGGCCAAAGGACAAACTCAAGGAATACGAGGCACTAAATGGTATGCCTGCTTTCACACACAAGATAGGTGCTAATGATGGAGAAACACAGCCTCTTCTAGGAGCCCATAATCCAGGAGATGAAGAAACACCAGGTAATTATTTCAACTTCAAATTTTTTAGCTCACCTGTCTGTCTGGAGTCCAGTTTTTTTAGCACACCTGTCTGTGTGGAGTCAAGTTGCTGAAGCTCACCTGTCTGTGTGGAGTCCATTTTTTTTAGCTCATTTGTCTGTGTGGAGTCAGGTTGCTTAAGCACACCTGTATGTGTGATGTCAAGTTTTTTTAGCACACCTGTATGTGTGGTGTCAAGTTTTTTTTAGCACACCTGTATTTGTGGTGTCAAGTTTTTTTTTAGCACACCTGTCTGTGTGGTGTCAAGTTTTTTTTAGCACACCTGTCTGTGTGGAGTCAGGTTGCTTTAGCTCACCTGTATGTGTGGTGTCAGTTTTTTTTAGCACACCTGTCTGTGTGGAGTCAGGTTGCTTTAGCTCACCTGTATGTGTGGTGTCAGGTTTTTTTTAGCTCACCTGTCTGTGTGGAGAATCTAATAATGCACTGGAATTAGGAATGGTTGTACTAGAGGTAGGAAGAGGTAAGATAGTAATTAATTATCTCCTAATTCACCACAACTTACAGTTTAATCAGCTAGAATATTATTTACTTTTCTTCCTTACATAACATCTTTCATACAAACAGAGTGGTAAGCAAATAATGATATACTTGTACTTAAAAAATGCAATAGTGTCTATAGGCAAAGTAAGGTATGCTAATTGTTTAAGATGGTAGACACTTAAGAATACTTGTAATTAAGCCACTTTCCTATTTATCAGTTTGTTTTTTTTACCAGGGGATTTAATGCATTTAATGGTTAACTGGATAGTGGATGCTTTGAGTTCACAGAAATTCTTTTCTTATTACAGGAATGCTGGTTAAGGTCCTGATGGCCTTTTCCATGTACTCAAATGCCCGAAAGATTCTGAATACTCATCAAGGTCCTGGTTCCATCACCTGTATTAATGGTGTGCGCTTCCTGAGTATGAGCTGGGTGCTGTTGGGCCATACGTTTGCATTTGGTATAGGTGTTGCAGGTAAGAAGCAGTACTATCTATCATAAATGCTGTTTCCATATTTATCTTTGGAGTGAGTTTTGTTAATGAATATACTGAAAACTTTAACTTGTATCATTCACAACAGCTCAGCCTATGTAACTTCAAGTGAAGATCTGAGACGTGTGGTTTGACACTACCTACTAGTGTTGGTTTGTGTTTCTAAGGAAGCTTAGAAACAGACCAGTTTGTGTTGTAATGGGTGTGCCCTTTGGCAAAACACTTACCCCTAATTGCCTTGGCATGTGACGGGTGCCAAGTGAGGAAGCTACCAGCAACTACATGAAAAGTCTGCTTCAAAATAACCCTGACAGTTCATAGGGAGACATACCCAGCAACCTAACAAGACACAAATAGTTTCATCATTTCTTTTACAAAATATACAGTCACATCCAGTCAGTTCAAATCGTTGGATAATTCAAATGCATGATTTTGTTTTCAATAAGGGCACAGTAAAAAGTAAAGAGTTTTCTGTCTAATGATAATTTGAACACTTTATTGTTTTACTACAAAATGCCTAATTAAATTGATGGATGTGCTGACACTTCAATGATCATTCCTTGCAGTTGTTTAATTCACATCGTTGGTTATGCTGTGGGTAGCGTTTTGTAAGTAACCATAATTGGCTACTGATGCTGCTATTGTATGCATATATACGGCTTACTTAGCTTTGATTCAGTTGGACTTCTTTAAATTCTTGTGCATTGTGCATGTGCCAGCTGAAACAATTTCAGGCCCAAAATCTACATAAGAAACAGACAGTACAGAGAACGGAATGCTTGCATTTATTGTCAATTACTCATTATACAGTTAAATGACATGATTGCTGCAAAACCATCCTGATTTATTGTATTGAACAGATGATGTTAATAGTTTTGCTTTGTAAAGACTATGTAGACAAAAGGTTGTTTGTTTACCATAGTCACAAGCCACACTCTGCATACAGATATGTCAGTACTTCTACCTGTACACAAGCATGCATTTATTGTCAAAGAGCGTTGCTGTTTCACTGTACATTTAATGACATGATTGCTCCTAAACCATTCCTTTTAATTATATTGAACAGATGAAATTTACCGTTGTTATGCTTCCTGAAGGGAGAGCATATAGTTGCTGCTTTGTCCATCTGTCCATCATAATTTTGTCTGGAGCATAACACAAAAAATATTTGAGGTATCAACTAGATAGATATCAACAAGCAGTTGGTGCAGTGCACCAAAACCATCAAACTCTTTTGTATAATTTAGGAGTTATTGCCCTTTGTTATTATGAAATACTTAGATTTTGTATGGAGCATTACACTTAAAGTATTAAGAGGTATCAACATCAAACTTCATAGGTAGATAGATCTCAACGAGACTGAGAACAGTGCACGAGAATCATTATAACTCTTATATTGCCCTTTGTTAATTACAATACTTAAATTTTGTCCCATTCAGGGAGAATAACCCATCTCTGACAGCCGTTGTGCTTTGTAAAGACTACTTAGACAATTAAGATAAAAAGGTTGTTTATAACTTAAGTCTCATTTCACACTTTGTATGCTGATATGGCAGTAACATTTGCCAGTAGACAAGCTGACATCTGCTTATTCTGGGCTCATCTGACTACTTCATTGTGGTATCCAAAGTAATATGGAACAAAGTGAAACCTAAGATTTTTAAGCGATCAGTTAACTGGTATATAATATAGAATATATGTAATATTGACAAATTTGTCAGCTTTATGATGTAGTGTAATCCATGGCCTGGTTCTACAGTTGTGTCTTTGGTTGGATTTGGAGTGATTTCGACTCTGATTGTTCGAGATCAAAGTTTTGTTTTCTCAAGCATAATATTATGGCATTCAAGCAGGTTATTAAAATTAATTTGTTTTTTTTTTAGGGGGACTGACTGGAGTTTCACCTTTTACATGTAAATGGTCTAGACCGTAAAGGCATAAAGACTATTTCGTTGTGAAAATTCATATATTTTCATTGAAATACAGGATTATGTGAGAAAATAACTATTTTGATTTTTTCACTCTTTTGATCCATCAGATCAGAAAAATGTCAACAATGTATAGCTGTGTGCACCTGTCAAATTTGTTGTCTATGTCTTCAGTTAGAAATCTGTGTAAACAAATATTAATTAGGTCATCTTACCCAAAGTGTCAAGATTACCTGTAGCTGTGTTTTGTCTGCCATTTTGCAATAACTTTTTATATATCAAACTTGTTCTCAAGTTACGCCAGAAATGATTCTGAGATGGTCGTGACCAACTGTTGTTAATCCTAACCCTAACTCCAACAAACACATTTAACACTTCTTCTCAAGGTCAACTGGAGCAATTAAGGTAAAATTTTTCTGATAATGTCAACAATTAGATATAATTAACAGACAGTCGTACAATGTTAACAAGTGACCTACCTATAGGTCTAAATTTGTAGATGCTGATCACAATCCTCTTCAGCATATAACCATAAATATATATCTCTGTATTTTGTTATTGTCATCTTGGTAAAATGTGTGGGTAACAAAACCAAAAGCTCTCACTTTACTGTAATTATTTGCTCTTTTCCAGTCTAATTAAGAACATAAGTGATACACATTTCATATTTATTTTCTTTCTATTGAATTTATTGAAGAACTGAGTCTAAGATGTGGAATTGTTTATGTGGAATTATTAATGTGGCATTGTCCCTGTTGAATTATTTATGTGGCATTGTCTCAGTGGAATTATTTATGTGGAATTGTCCCTGTGGAATTGTCTCTGTGGAATTATTAATGTGGCATTGTCTCTGTGGAATTATTAATGTGGCATTGTCTCTGTGGAATTATTAATGTGGCATTGTCTCTGTGTAATTATTTATGTGGCATTGTCTCTGTGGAATTATTTATGTGGCATTGTCTCTGTGGAATTATTTATGTGGAATTGTCTCTGTGGAATTATTTATGTGGCATTGTCTCAGTCGAATTATTTATGTGGAATTGTCTCTGTGGAATTTTTATGTGGCATTGTCTCAGTGGAATTGTCTCTGTGGAATTATTTATGTGGAATTGTCTCTGTGGAATTGTCTCTGTGGAATTGTCTCTGTGGAATTATTTATGTGGAATTGTCTCTGTGGAATTATTTATGTGGCATTGTCTCTGTGGAATTATTTATGTGGAATTGTCTCTGTGGAATTATTTATGTGGCATTGTCTCTGTGGAATTATTTATGTGGCATTGTCTCTGTGGAATTATTTATGTGGAATTGTCTCTGTGGAATTATTTATGTGGAATTGTCTCTGTGGAATTATTTATGTGGAATTGTCTCTGTGGAATTATTTATGTGGAATTGTCTCTGTGGAATTATTTATGTGGCATTGTCTCTGTGGAATTATTTATGTGGAATTGTCTCTGTGGAATTATTTATGTGGAATTGTCTCTGTTGAATTATTTATGTGGAATTGTCTCTGTGGAATTATTTATGTGGCATTGTCTCTGTGGAATTATTTATGTGGCATTGTCTCTGTGGAATTATTTATGTGGCATTGTCTCTGTGGAATTATTTATGTGGCATTGTCTCTGTTGAATTATTTATGTGGAATTGTCTCTGTGGAATTATTTATGTGGCATTGTCTCTGTGGAATTATTTATGTGGCATTGTCTCTGTGGAATTATTTATGTGGAATTGTCTCTGTGGAATTATTTATGTGGCATTGTCTCTGTGGAATTATTTATGTGGCATTGTCTCTGTGGAATTATTTATGTGGCATTGTCTCTGTGGAATTATTAATGTGGAATTGTCACTGTGGAATTATTTATGTGGCATTGTCTCAGTGGAATTATTTATGTGGCATTGTCTCTGTGGAATTATTTATGTGGCATTGTCTCTGTGGAATTATTTATGTGGCATTGTCTCTGTGGAATTATTTATGTGGAATTGTCTCTGTGGAATTATTTATGTGGAATTGTCTCTGTGGAATTATTTATGTGGAATTGTCTCTGTGGAATTATTTATGTGGCATTGTCTCTGTGGAATTACTTATGTGGCATTGTCTCTGTGGAATTATTCATGTGGCATTGTCTCAGCCGAATTATTTATGTGGAGTTGTCTCTGTGGAATTATTTATGTGGAATTGTCTCTGTGGAATTATTTATGTGGCATTGTCTCTGTGGAATTATTTATGTGGCATTGTCTCTGTGGAATTATTAATGTGGAATTGTCTCTGTGGAATTATTTATGTGGAATTGTCTCTGTGGAATTATTTATGTGGCATTGTCTCTGTGGAATTATTTATGTGGCATTGTCTCTGTGGAATTATTTATGTGGCATTGTCTCTGTGGAATTATTTATGTGGCATTGTCTCTGTGGAATTATTTATGTGGAATCATTTATCTGATAGAGAAATGACAGTAGAATACATAAATAGACACAGTGGTAAATTTTACTTGTGAGAAAGATAATACTGGATAAGTAACTCTCAGATTAAAATATCTTTCATCTCTTTGTATGAAAACTTTGATATTTTCACTGGTGCTGCATACTCATTAACTATGATTAAGTTTCCACACCACTAGATGAAATGCAAAGGATCTGATACAATTTTGGTTTTGTGACCTTTGGCATACAAATGGTTGAAGTAGATTCAGATTTAAATAAATACCTTAATTGTGTATAATCCAGTTTGACACTGCTAGTAGCCGTTGAACTCCCAGGTGCTGAAGTTGTGTTACTAGAGCCAACACTTCAGGCCAAGTCCTCTCCAAGCATTTCCTTGTCAACATGAATGACCTAATGTGGAGAACAGCAACAAACAGAAGCAGCCATTTTGTTGTGCCATTTTCACTTAGTGACATGTCATTTTCCATGATATGACATCACAATAATTGTTTTTTGACTGCCACAACTAACATACCAGGGTATACAGCACTAGTGACATATGCAGATATATATCGTGTGTGAAGTCACTGGACTACAGGATAATCAGTTCATAGATAACTGTTACTTACTTCAACAACACAGGAATATCCTCTACGTTTAGTTCCTTCTTATGTGATTACACAATCTACATGATGCAAGTCATTTATCAATATTAAAATCTTCTCAAATATTTGTTTTTTATTTCTACAGACAATCTGCTGACATTTTTACCAGCCTTTATGAAAAGATGGACAGCCCATGTTATATTGAACGCCCTTGTGTCTGTAGATTCATTCTTCACAATCAGGTAAGTCATCTGTAGTTACAGGTATATCTGATAACACCTGGTGAAGTTACAGGTAAGCTTGATAACACCTGCGGTAGTTACAGGTATGTCTGATAACACCTGCTGTAGTTACTGGTATGTCTGATAACACCTGCAGTAGTAACAGGTATGTCTGATAACACCTGCTGTAGTTACAGGTATGCCCGATAAACATGCTGTATTTACATATTTGTCTGATAACACCTGCTGTAGTTACAGGTAAGTCTGATAACACCTGCTGTAGTTACAGGTATGCCTGATAACACCTGCTGTAGTTACAGGTATGCCCGATAAACATGCTGTATTTACATATTTGTCTGATAACACCTGCAGTAGTAACAGATAAGTCTGATAACACCTGCTGTAGTTACAGGTATGTCTGATACTACCTGCTGTAGTTACAGGTATGTCTGATAACACCTGTTGTAGTTACAGGTAAGTCTTATAACACCTGCTGTAGTTACAGGTATGTCTGATAACACCTGCAGTAGTAACAGATATGTCTGATAACACCTGCTGTAGTTACAGGTATGTCTGATAACACCTGCTTTAGTTACAGCTAAGTCTGATAACACCTGCTGTAGTTACAGATATGTCTGATAACACCTGCTGTAGTTACAGGTATGTCTGATAACACCTGCAGTAGTTACAGGTGTGTCTGATAACACCTGTTGTAGTTACAGGTAAGTCTGATAACACCTGCTGTAGTTACAGGTAAGTGTGATACTACCTGCTGTAGTTACAGGTATGTCTGATAACACCTGTTGTAGTTACAGGTATGTCTGATACTACCTGCTGTAGTTACAGGTATGTCTGATAACACCTGTTGTAGTTACAGGTAAGTCTGATAACACCTGCTGTAGTTACTGGTATGTCTGATAACACCTGCAGTAGTAACAGGTATGTCTGATAACACCTGCTTTAGTTACAGGTAAGTCTGATAACACCTGCTGTAGTTACAGATATGTCTGATAACACCTGCTGTAGTTACAGGTATGTCTGATAACACCTGCTGTAGTTACAGGTGTGTCTGATAACACCTGTTGTAGTTACAGGTAAGTCTGATAACACCTGCTGTAGGTACAGGTAAGTGTGATACTACCTGCTGTAGTTACAGGTATGTCTGATAACACCTGTTGTAGTTACAGGTATGTCTGATACTACCTGCTGTAGTTACAGGTATGTCTGATAACACCTGTTGTAGTTACAGGTAAGTCTGATACCACCTGTTGTAGTTACAGGTATGTCAGATACTACCTGCTGTAGTTACAAGTAAGTCTGCTGTAGGAAAAGATAAATATGATAATCCCCTTTACAGATTACTCTGATAATACTAACTATTTCCTAACTTATAAATCTAATAAGACCTGCTATATTTAAACTACCTTGTCTTTTGAAATTTTACTATCAAGGCACACTTCTCTGGCAGGCAAAGATATCTCTTTCAATATACATATATACTATAATGTAATGACTAAAACCCTCTGTAATAGTTATTTGTGAGCTGTAATGTGTAAGCCTTCTGTAATCTTTATTCCTTGAGCTGTAATGTGTAAGCCTTCTATAATCTTTATTCCTGGAGCTGTAATGTGTAAGCCTTCTATAATCTTGATTCCTTGAGCTGTAATGAGTAAGCCTTCTGTAATCTTGATTCCTTGAGCTGTAATGAGTAAGCCTTTTGTAATCTTTATTCCTTGAGCTGTAATGTGTAAGCCCTCTGTAATCTTTATTCCTTGAGCTGTAATGTGTAAGCCTTCTGTAATCTTGATTCCTTGAGCTGTAATGAGTAAGCCTTTTGTAATCTTTATTCCTTAAGCTGTAATGTGTAAGCCCTCTGTAATCTTTATTCCTTGAGCTGTAATGTGTAAGCCCTCTGTAATCTTTACTCCTTGAGCTGTAATATGTAAGCCCTCTGTAATCTTTATTCCTTGAGCTGTAATAAGTAAGCCCTCCGTAATCTTGATTCCTGGAAATGTAATGTGTAAGCCTTTTGTAATCTTGATTCCTGGAAATGTAATGTGTAAGCCTTCTGTAATTGTTATTCCTGGAAATGTAATGTGTAAGCCTTTTGTAATTGTTATTCCTGGAAATGTAATGTGTAAGCCTTCTGTAATTTTTATTCCTGGAAATGTAATGTGTAAGCCTTCTGTAATTGTTATTCCTGGAAATGTAATGTGTAAGCCTTCTGTAATTGTTATTCCTGGAAATGTAATGTGTAAGCCTTCTGTAATTGTTATTCCTGGAAATGTAATGTGTAAGCCTTCTGTAATTGTTATTCCTCGAAATGTAATGTGTAAGCCCTCTGTAATCTTGATTCCTGGAAATGTAATGTGTAAGCCTTCTGTAATTGTTATTCCTGGAAATGTAATGTGTAAGCCTTCTGTAATTGTTATTCCTGGAAATGTAATGTGTAAGCCCTCTGTAATTGTTATTCCTGGAAATGTAATGTGTAAGCCTTCTGTAATTGTTATTCCTGGAAATGTAATGTGTAAGCCTTCTGTAATCTTGACTCCTGGAAATGTAATGTGTAAGCCTTCTGTAATTTTTATTCCTGGAAATGTAATGTTATCTTTTTTCCTGTTGATGACTTCAGTGGGCTCCTGCTGTCCTACCTTGTCCTGAAGGAAATGAAGAAGAAGAATGGCAAACTGAACTGGGGAATGTTTTATTTCCATAGATTTTGGAGGTAGGTCTATCATATAAACACCTTTACCTTAAGCATAAAGATCATGAAACGGTAGTGGATCACTTGTCTACCTGCTGCCTGGGATGGAATCCAAGGTAAAACATAAAAAGGTAATGGATCACCTGTCTATCAGCTTCCCTGGGTTTAATTCCAGATCATTTGATAATAACGTTGGCCGATGTAATCTCATGTGAAATTCTGAAGCACATCATAAAAGAAGTTAGATGCTTTCTACCTGTGGTAGTTTGTCTTTCTCAGGAAGCTGAGAAACTGTGCATGGTCCTTTGGCAAGACATTATAAACACTCAAATTGCTCTACATGGCATGCAACATGCCTCCTGTATGCTGTTCAGAAAGATGTCCACCAGCTCCTGCCAACAGACCCTGCCAACAAATCATCCATAGCAACAAGAGCGAAAGCTGCAATGTTAATTAACGTATGTAATGTATAATCATTGGTACTTTTCAGACTGACACCACCATACATGCTGCTGATGATGGTCTATGTACCTCTGTTTCGCTACATGTTTCAAGGTCCTGATTGGCTACAAGGTGGCACAGAGAAAAACTTCTGTGCTGACACCTGGTGGACAAATCTGTTGTACATCAACAACTTAGTACATAAAAGTGACATGGTAAGTAGGATAAACACATTTCCTTTTTTCACTAGGCATGGAATAGCTAGATAAACATAGACTATTTTCAATACCATATTTTCTGGGTTATAAGCTGCACAGCCGTTTTGGAATATAAGTCGCACCCTTTCTTACGAAGTGGTATCCGTTAAGTTGACCAAAGTTGGTTGATATAACAGACAATGGAAGGCAATTTATCAAGATCGTTGATGAAACATTAAATAGAATTTGCAAATGAAGTAATCCTTAACTTATTGATGTATTTCATAAAATGTAAAACGGCAAATATCAAACTTGTTTGGCTTGGGTGCCTTCACAGATTGTCTACCTTGACGTTACCTATGTTTAAACAATCTCTCCATTAGTGTCTCTACTGTTAAATATTAGCAAAGGCCCTTGCATACTGACCACATTCTTATAGACCCACATTATTTTTCCTTGTAAGTTACATGAAGCCATTCATATCAGAAACAAGCATGGTGATAGTTCTTGAATCTGACTTATAAGTCAGTGACCTATAAATCCAGGGATGCAAAAGGCTATTGTAAACTTCCCCTATGGCATCAAAGTAACAGAGAAAGCCCAGAAGATATCATTGTGATTCATAGTAAAAAGTATGATTAATTAAATCCATGAGAATGTTTTCATTTCAATCTTCAAATCATCCTGTATATGATTGCAAATGATAGTTCCAGATGATCTGTTTCAGTCACAAACACATGATGGGCAGGTACTGTTAAAAAAATCAGTTTTTTTTAATCCTGTTGATTTTTTTTCTGTCCACAAATAAGCCATACCGGTATAGGTGTGTTTTATAATCCTGAAAATGCAATGATTTAAAATAAAGTTGAAGTTATTGTACGCCTCACAGATACTGCTTTGAATAAGGTAATTTTATAGTACAAAATGTCAACATTGGTATATATATGTAAATATGGGCGGATAAAAGATCGGGGAAACAGAGGCATGATAATATACATAGATCATACTTGCTTACTTTTAAAATTTCAAAGGAGCAAATTGCATGCTTTCAAAACTTCAAACCTCAGAAAAGCATATTTTAAACTTAATAATGCATTAAAACCTTACAGTTTAAGTATTTTGTTTTTTAGGTCACCTCAGACAAAGTGTCAGGTCATCCATTTCGAAGTTGTAAATTATATGGTCCCCAACCCCCAGTAGTGGAGCAAAAATTGGTCAAATTGACTGAAATTTCAAAGATGTCCTCAATTCCCTAATGTGATAGAAACTTTTGATAGTGTTCATGGATGAAGGGTTTATATTGGAAAATTAAAGTTTTGAGTGCAATTTCTTTTTAGTTATACTTGGTTAGGTGCCTAAGCATGGGACGGCTGTTAATGTTGTGCACGGTTTACATTTGCATAATGTGTACATTGTAGTTGAAGTTGCCTTACCTTTTTTAAGAATATCATTTCTATGGCATGTTACAGGAAGCATTGTGACTCAGGTGACTATTAATGCCCTTGACCTCTTGTTCTGACGGACAAATTTTATTTTTTAAATCATGTTTTTGAAATTACTGATAATATGAAACCTAGTTTGTGACTAAAATTATGAATCTGCTTTCGGACAAGGATGGAATCAGAAAGTATGTGATACACATGTAATTGTCCTCTGTTTGTAGTGCTTGATATAATCCAACTGATATCTACATGTATAAGTTCTATGCTTTGTTTTTGTAGTGTATGGCGTGGTCATGGTACCTTGCCAATGACATGCAGTTCTTTGTTGTCAGCCCATTGATGATTGCACCTCTGTTCTTGTAAGTATACCCAGTTGATATAGACTTTCATCCTATTGGCTCCTGGGTACCGCTCTCACTGTATCACAGCATTATAGGGGTTTATAATTGTCATCCGGGTGACTACAAATGTCCCACTATGGGTCTCTCTAATGGAGATCTCTATTAAGCATTATCACTACATGTTTGTTTGTACATTTGTTGAATAAACTTACAACAAAGTTCAGTTAAATCTCAGAAAGGTAAACCATTGTATTGACAAAGGTTATAATTTATATCTATTAATTTGATAATCAAACCCATTCTACAGATTCCTTCATATTCACACCAATTCTCCACACCCTACATCTGATTTAATTTTGGTGGCCACCAGTCAAAGTAAAACTTTCGAAATTTAGAGCTTGTGTATAGAATATTTCATGAACCCCTCGACAGTTTCAGTTCCTATACACACCATGTCTTTATACCGTCAAGTTCTGCACCTGATTAGAGACTGGTGGTTATCAGTCATAGTGAAACATCACACTTTACCACTTGTAAATGGGAAGCCTTGTGTACAAGATATGTCATGAATCCCTGTTAAAAATACAGAGGACACAGAGCAGGGTATATCAATACAAACACCTGCTGCCCAGTACATAATTCATTCTTTATCAGAAGTACAAGTTAAGTAATTCTCAAATTTTCATAATATGCAGATTGCCCTTGGTCCCTAGTTGTGCATCATCCATTATGAAAATGGTTTAGAAAAACAAAAAAAGGTTAAAGTGGCCATCTTGGATTTCGACGTATACTGTTTGTCACAGATATTTGAGAGGTATCTGATGGATCCTTCTCAAATTTCATTTGTAAATTTCCTTTATTTCCTAGTGGTGAGACTGATCAGAAAAAAAGTAAATAGTTCATAGACAGCCATTTTGGATTTAGACATTAGTAGTCTGTTGTTGCTGTTTTTTAAGTACTGGAAGGATCTTTGTATAAAGCTACACCTTTGTGAATTATTTCCCTTGTTAAGATAGGATTGACATTGTTCCTGTTAGATGATAATAATAAGGATTTTTTCAGACTAGCCCCCAACCACTCAGATATAAGTAACATGTTATAATGGTAATGTTTCCTGTCTCATGGATATTATACTTTTTCCAGTGTCCCGACCATTGGCATCATTGTTTGTATGGTGTTTCTCCTGGCCAATATGATTATTTCTGGTGTCATCTCCCGTACAGAGGACATGCCTCCTTCAATGTTAGGAGGGGGTGGAACACTCGCGTAAGTAGCCTGATACCCATCTGTCTATATAACCATGTGTCAACTCTCACCTGTATATCTGTAACAATGTGTAAACTCTCACCTGTATATCTGTAACAAGTTGTCAACTCTCACCTGTATATCTGTAACAAGTTGTCAACTCTCACCTGTATATCTGTAACAAGTTGTCAACTCTCACCTGTATATATGTAACAATTTGTCAACTCTCACCTGTATATCTGTTACAATGTGTAAACTACATTGTAAACTCTCACCTGTATATCTGTTACAATGTGTAAACTCTAACCTGTATATATGTAACAAGTTGTCAACTCTCACCTGTATATCTGTAACAATGTATAAAGTCTCACCTGTATATCTGTAACAATGTGTAAACTCTCACCTGTATATCTGTTACAATGTGTAAACTCTCACCTGTATATCTGTAACAATGTGTAAAGTCTCACCTGTATATCTGTAACAATGTGTAAACTCTCACCTGTATATCTGTAACAATGTGTTAGCTCTCACCTGTATATCTGTTACAATGTGTAAACTCTCACCTGTATATCTGTAACAATGTGTAAACTCTCACCTGTATATCTATAACAATGTGTAAACTCTCACCTGTATATCTGTAACAATGTGTCAACTCTCACCTGTATATCTGTAACAATGTGTAAACTCTCACCTGTATATCTGTAACAAGTTGTCAACTCTCACCTGTATATCTGTAACAAGTTGTCAACTCTCACCTGTATATCTGTTACAATGTGTCAACTCTCACCTGTATATCTGTTACATTGTGTAAACTCTCACCTGTATATCTGTAACAATTTGTCAACTCTCACCTGTATATCTGTAACAATGTGTAAACTCTCACCTGTATATCTGTAACAATATGTTAGCTCTCATCTGTATATCTGTAACAATGTGTAAACTCACCTGTATATATGTAACAAGTTGTCAACTCTCACCTGTATATCTGTAACAATGTGTAAACTCTCACCTGTATATCTGTAACAATGTGTAAACTCTCACCTGTATATCTGTAACAAAGTCACCTGTGTAACAACTCTCACCTGTATATCTGTAACAATGTGTAAACTCTCACCTGTATATCTGTAACACTCTCACCTGTATATCTGTTACAATGTGTAAACTCTCACCTGTATATCTGTAACAATGTGTAAACTCTCACCTGTATATCTGTAACAAGTTGTCAACTCTCACCTGTATATATGTAACAAGTTGTCAACTCTCACCTGTATATCTGTAACAATGTGTAAACTCTCACCTGTATATCTGTAACAAGTTGTCAACTCTCACCTGTATATCTGTAACAAGTTGTCAACTCTCACCTGTATATATGTAACAAGTTGTCAACTCTCACCTGTATATCTGTAACAATGTGTAAACTCTCACCTGTATATCTGTAACAAGTTGTCAACTCTCACCTGTATATCTGTAACAATGTGTCAACTCTCACCTGTATATCTGTAACAAGTTGTCAACTCTCACCTGTATATCTGTAACAAGTTGTCAACTCTCACCTGTATATCTGTAACAATGTGTAAACTCTCACCTGTATATCTGTAACAAGTTGTCAACTCTCACCTGTATATCTGTAACAATGTGTAAACTCTCACCTGTATATCTGTAACAAGTTGTCAACTCTCATCTGTATATCTGTAACAATGTGTAAACTCACCTGTATATCTGTAACAATTTGTCAACTCTCACCTGTATATCTGTAACAAGTTGTCAACTCTCACCTGTATATCTGTAACAAGTTGTCAACTCTCACCTGTATATCTGTAACAATGTGTCAACTCTCACCTGTATATCTGTAAACTCACTGTAATGTGTAAACTCTCACCTGTATATCTGTAACAATGTGTAAACTCTCACCTGTATATCTGTAACAAGTTGTCAACTCTCACCTGTATATCTGTAACAATGTGTAAACTCTCACCTGTATATCTGTAACAAGTTGTCAACTCTCACCTGTATATCTGTAACAAGTTGTCAACTCTCACCTGTATATCTGTAACAAGTTGTCAACTCTCACCTGTATATCTGTAACAAGTTGTCAACTCTCACCTGTATATCTGTAACAATGTGTAAACTCTCACCTGTATATCTGTAACAATGTGTAAACTCTCACCTGTATATCTGTAACAAGTTGTCAACTCTCACCTGTATATCTGTAACAATGTGTAAACTCTCACCTGTATATCTGTAACAAGTTGTCAACTCTCACCTGTATATCTGTAACAATGTGTAAACTCTCACCTGTATATCTGTAACAATTTGTCAACTCTCACCTGTATATCTGTAACAATGTGTAAACTCTCACCTGTATATCTGTAACAATGTGTAAATTCTCACCTGTATATCTGTAACAAGTTGTCAACTCTCACCTGTATATCTGTAACAATGTGTAAACTCTCACCTGTATATCTGTAACAATTTGTCAACTCTCACCTGTATATCTGTAACAATGTGTAAACTCTCACCTGTATATCTGTAACAAGTTGTAACTCTCACCTGTATATCTGTAACAATGTGTAAACTCTCACCTGTATATCTGTAACAAGTTGTCAACTCTCACCTGTATATCTGTAACAATGTGTAAACTCTCACCTGTATATCTGTAACAAGTTGTCAACTCTCACCTGTATATCTGTAACAATGTGTAAATTCTCACCTGTATATCTGTAACAAGTTGTCAACTCTCACCTGTATATCTGTAACAATGTGTAAACTCTCACCTGTATATCTGTAACAAGTTGTCAACTCTCACCTGTATATCTGTAACAATGTGTAAACTCTCACCTGTATATCTGTTACAATCTAGGTCTGAATGTTTGTTACAATGTATAAACTCTCACCTGTATATCTGTTACAATGTGTAAATTCTCACCTGTATATCTTTACCAAGTTGTTAACTCTCACCTGTATATCTGTAACAATGTGTAAACTCTCACCTGTATATCTGTTACATTCTAGGTCTGAATGTTTGTTACAATGTATAAACTCTTACCAAGACTCTCATATACTGTCACAAACAAAGTGTGTGATTTCTCACCTGTATTTCTGTAAGAATGTATAAATTATATGTATTCGTTGTAAGATGTTTGGCACTCAGATAAAGAGCTAGATTGAATTGTTGTGTATTGTTTTACAGCGGTACCCAGGCCTATTTCAATGATTACTATATTGTACCTTACTGTCGTATTGGGACATACGTGGTGGGCATCATCACTGGATACATTCTTTACAAGACAGAATGTCGCTGTCGCATCAACAGGGTATGTCTTCAAAATATGATGCCTCAGCCTTATTGCTTGAAAGGAATTTGTCACGTATCAGTCATATTGTTTCTTTTAAGGCTTGTGATGATCTCCTGTTTATTGAAGAGTGTCTTCCCTTTTAAATAGTCTCCAGATTATAGTATAATCATGTCTGATAATTGTACTCTTGACTGTTATGATGTTAATATTGTATGGTCTTTCAACTATTGTATGACCTCCTGACTATTGTATGGCCTCCTGACTATCGTATAACCTCCTGACTATTGTATGACCTCCTGACTATTGTATGACCTCCTGACTATTGAATGGTCTCCTGACTATTGTATGACCTCCTGACTATTGTTAAGTGTCCTGACTATTGTATGATCTCCTGACTGTTGTATGATCTCCTGACTATTGTATGGCCTGACTATTGTATGGCCTGACTATTGTATGACCTCCTGACTGCTGTATGGTCTTCACTATTGTATGACCTCATGACTATTGTATGGTCTCCTGATTGTTGTATGACCTCCTGACTTTTGTATGGTCTCCTGACTATTGTATGGTCTCCTGAACATTGTATGACCTCCTGACTGTTGTATGACCTCCTGACTGTTGTATGATCACCTGAACGTTGTATGACCTCCTGACTATTGTATGAACTCATGACTACTGTATGGTCTCCTGACTATTGTATGGTCTCCTGAACATTGTATGACCTCCTGACTGTTGTATGACCTCCTGACTGTTGTATGATCACCTGAACGTTGTATGACCTCCTGACTATTGTATGAACTCATGACTACTGTATGACCTCCTGACTATTGTATGGTCTCCTGACTATTGTATGACCTCCTGACTATTGTATGGTCTCCTGAACATTGTATGACCTCCTGACTGTTGTATGACATCCTGACTGTTGTATGATCACCTGAACGTTGTATGACCTCCTGGCTATTGTATGACCTCATGACTACTGTATGACCTCCTGACTATTGTATGGTCTCCTGACTATTGTATGACCTCCTGACTACTGTATGACCTCCTGACTGTTGTATGACCTCCTGACTGTTGTATGATCACCTGAACGTTGTATGACCTCCTGAACATTGTATGACCTCCTGACTATTGTATGACCTCCTGACTGCTGTATGATCTCCTGACTATTGTATGACCTCTTGACTATTATATGGTCTCCTGACTATTGTATGACCTCCTGACTACTGTATGACCTCCTGAACATTGTATGACCTCCTGAACATTGTATGACCTCCTGACTATTGTATGACCTCATGACTATTGTTTGGTCCCCTAACTATTGTATGTTCTCATTACTTTTGTATGGTCTCCTGTTTTACTGTTTCTTGACTTTTTGTACAGTTGTATTGTCATGTTGAAAATCAGAAGTGGAAAGTTTATATTATAATGCTGCTGCACATCTTCTTTTATTTAGTCATAGAATTACTCCTTGATCCCAAGTCTGCAGGAATTCAATCTTATGTTATCTGCTTGTATTCACATAGTACAAACTTTGTAAAATCTGGAGGTAGATAGTTGATAATTTATTGTAACTCCTGGATGTTGAAGATGTCCGTGATATACTGACCACAGTGATTTACTTTCTTTTACTTCAGTATGTGAACCTCTTGTGCTGGGCATTAGCAGCAGCAGTTGCATGTTCTGTTGTGTATGGCCTGTACAATCCGATAAATGGCCATCCGTTGAGTTTGGACGTGTCAGCCTTGTACAACGCCACCCACAAGATAGCGTGGGGAGCCTGTTTATGCTGGATGATCTTTGCTTGTGCCACTGGTAATGGAGGTAAGATGGAGCAGGGGGATGGGTTTTGTTGTGTTAAGGACTAGTGACATTTGACATTATGTGAAGAACTATGTAAACATTTGACTTTTTGAGTAACAGACTGTGGGGAGTAACAGACTATGGGAACAATTGCCTTTTGGGTAACTGACTATGAAAACATTTGACTTTTTGAGTAACAGACTATGGGGAGTAACAGACTATGGGGAGTAACAGACTATGGGAACAATTGCCTTTTGGGTAACTGACTTTGGAAACATTTGACTTTTTGAGTAACAAACTATGGAAACATTTGACTTTTTGAGTAACAGACTTTGGGAACATTTGACTTTTTGTTTGACAGAATACAGAAACATTTAACTTTTTGAGTAACAGACTATGGAAACATTCGACTTTTTGAGTAACAGACTATGGGGAGTAACAGACTATGGGAACAATTGCCTTTTGGGTAATTGACTTTGGAAACATTTGACTTTTTGAGTAACAAACTATGGAAACATTTGACTTTTTGAGTAACAGACTTTGGGAACATTTAATTTTTTGAGTAACAGACTATGGGAACAATTGCCTTTTCGTGCGAGACTCACTGAGAATCACATTATTATATTGCTCTGCATTTTGTTTCTGTAATGTGCAAAAACCCACGGTATATAGTTCCGGATATGAAGTTCAATGTTGCTTGCAAATATTTTTCTTTTTCACACTCTAGATATTCTTATTCACCAGGCTAAGCTAAATGGGAAAGGGCCAGCTTTCACGGTCATTTGTATACTGAGAGAGACAGGATATCATGGACAATATATGTTATTGCACTGCACCATTCTGGCCTGAAATATGACATAATGAAAAGTTGTGGGCAAAACACTTTAAATCTTACATTGCTGTATTGCAGGTTATGTGAACACAATACTGTCGTGGAAGGCCTTCATTCCCTTGAGTCGTCTGACATACTGTGGCTATCTGATACACCCAATCATCATGTTTGCCTTCTACTTCAGCCACCAAACAACTATACACTTTGATAACTTTACCCTGGTAAGTAATACAACTCTAGGTTAGCTGTCGGTATACTTAATGTCTTGTATTGTTAGAATTAAAAGCGAGGACAGGAATAGATTTTTAGAGAGATAACTGCTGGTAGGATTAGTTTACCAGGTATTCAAACAGGCTTGTACCATAAAGATGAGTCTAGCCGTCTTCAAACAGGCTTGGAATCATAAAGATGAGTCCAGCCATCTTCAAACAGGCTTGGAATCATAAAGATGAGTCTAGCCATCTTCAAACAGGCTTGGAATCATAAAGATGAGTCTAGCCATCTTCAAACAGGCTTGGAATCATAAAGATGAGTCTAGCCATCTTCAAACAGACTTGTATCATAAAGATGAGTCTAGCAGTCTTCAAACAGACTTGTATCATAAAGATGAGTCTAGCAGTCTTCAAACAGACTTGTATCATAAAGATGAGTCTAGCAGTCTTCAAACAGACTTGTATCATTAGAATCAATTTAGCAGGTCTTAAACAGGCTTGGTATCATAAAGATAAGTCTAACATATATTATAAGGATTGTGCCAGCAGAACTGAAGTGATTTGTATGAGTTTTGTACCAGTAACACCAGATTAGCAGATCTTTCGGGAGTTTCACCGTTTTAGAATGACCTGTTTGGTCTTTACAGTTATCCCTAGCTAGTCTTTGATTTAATGTTTTAGGAAGATATTTGTGATCTGTGATGAGAATAACCAAATTGAGAAGAATATTTAGTGATTAGATGTTGTTTATTTTCCAGATCATGATCTTTTTGGGAATACTGTGTCTGACCTTCATGTCTGCTTTTGTTCTCTCCCTTGCATTTGAGGCTCCATTTATGGGTCTGGAAAAGGTTATCTTCAGACGGGAAAGATCAGAGAAGAAATAAGTACCTACTGGATTCAGTTTTATATGCTGCAATTTTCAGTGGGTAGTGTTTACTTGTATGTGATCTGTTTTGGATGAAATGATTCAACGGGTTTAAAACCTTACTGAAACATGATAACAATTCTCTACCTGGTTTGTATTTATCTGCTTACCCTTTCAGAACAGGTATATAGTTATATAAACCTCTGAGCTATGTACGCAACACTATAATCAATTTAACCAATGTTTGTGATGTTTTATTGTAGTGAATGTGCCATGTATTTTCTAGTGTGAATTAAAAATTCAAAACTCAGCAATTTTCAGGTCACCTGAGACAAAGTCTCAAATGACCTATTGCGATTACCATTTGTCCAGGGCGTCGTCCAGCCTCTGTCTTCTTAATAACTGATAGGCCCATGGGCATGATATTGGGCCAATAGCATGCTGGAATGAAGGGCTAAAATGCATATTCAAATGAATGATCTTGACCTAATTTCAAGGTCAAAGGGGTCAAATGTGTTAAAATCATTGATTGACTTCTTCTCAATAACCAAATAGACCAGGGTCATGCTATTCAGCCAATAGCATGCTGGGATGAAGGGCTACCAAGTTTATTTAAATAAGTGACATTGACTTACTTTCATGTGCTAAAATCTGCAAAAAGCCATTTTTTCAATGACTCAGAGGTCCAGGGACTTTAATATTGGCTCCTTAGCATGCTGGATTGAAGGGCTACCAAGTTTTTTTTTCTTTTTTCAAATGAATGACTTTGACCTTCAATCAAGGTCACAGGGGTCAAATATGCTAAAATCTTTGAACAACTTCTTCTCAATAACTGAGAGACCCACAGACCTGATATTGGGTCTGTAGCGTTTTGGGATGAAGGGCTACCAAGTTTGTTCAAATGAATGACCTTGACCTCCATTCAAGGTCATAGGTTTCAAATACATGAAAATCATTTAAACAAATTCTCCTCAATAACAGCTGACTGTTAAGGCCCATGGGACTCTTTGTTTTATAGTATATTATTTGTGAATGATAGAGCTATGACATTGTTGTTTGATATAATTGATGAATATTTCTGTCAGATCTGCAGCATTTTGTATGTCTGCAAAAAAAATAATAGAATCTTGTTTGATTTTTTATGAATATCAGTTGTACCTGTAAATGCTGATGTGAAAACTTTGACACTTTGAACTACCACAAAGTAATCCTTTGCTTGCTTTTGTATTATAATTTACTGTAACTACAAATCAGAGAGTTTTTATTCAGAGTTCTTATATCTAAAATTGTGTTAGTACCACAAGCTTTGTTTAGAGTTGCTTGATTTGTAAAATTAATTATAATTGTCTGAATTAATATGATCAGTTTTTACTAGCAACATTGTGAATATTTGTTATGTTAAAAAGACAAATTCTTTTTCATATATTTGACTCGAAATGTTTCATCATTTGAATTAAAATGATTGTATTTGGGGAAGAATTCAACTTCACTATTAAAACTTCACTTGGCAGAGTTATGGAGGAAATGTTCTTATGATAAACACTGTAATGACATGCATGTATATAAGTGTCATTTGGTCTTGTTTCTGTAAATTGCTTTGAAATTTGGCAACTGAAAGCTGTATTCCCATAGTTGATCTTTGTGTGCATAGTATAATAGAAATTATCTACAAATATTCAATCAAGTTATTTTACAGATTTGGTTGAAATATTTCTCTCTGCATACCAATGGTTTTACTCCATTATGTTTTGTTTGTATATCCAGGTGTTTTTTTTTTTTTTTTGTTTATTTATTTTTTATTTACTTCTTGAAAATTTAGCTCTGATCTACTAATGTAGATCTGATTTTTTCTGGATCTTTTGTCTCATAATCTTCTAGTGGAATTTGTTCTTTTAATCAACTATTTTATATATCTGTTAGGAATGATAGCATTTGTTTTCTGATGCCAAATTATGGAGTTACAGCATTTGCTGCCATATTTAAAGGAAGTTGTATTTGTATTATTTTAAGAAGAAAAACATTTATCTTTCCTTTTCATAATGTAAAATGTAGACCAGACCACATTTGTTCCAAGTCATTTACTTTTTTAAAAGTTTCTGTTTGAAAAGAGAATTCTTCATTTAGGGAGAAGTGTGGTCATGTTCAAAAGTCACCTTGAGTATAAGGTGGTCTGATGAAAAGGGATGGCATGGAAAACATGAGTTCTTTTTCTGTAGGTGATTATTGATATTAGAAACTGTCAATAACGTATTTATAATTTAGTCAGATAATGCTTGTATTGTGCAGTATTTAATATTGTAGATCAAACAGTGACGCATAGAGATATGAATGTATCATTAAGTGTTCGTTTTTTTTTATTGAATACCTCTAAAAGTATGAGAAAGAATGCTTTAAATTTAAAGTGTGTGTTGAGATATTGTTTTGCACTTTGTTACTAGTTTTAAAGCTTGTTGGGAGATACTTTTACAGTGCTTTGTTACTAATTTTAAAGCTTGTATGATGTATTTTTACAGTGCTTTGTTACTAATTTTAAAGCTTGTATGATGTATTTTTACAGTGCTTTGTTACTAATTTTAAAGCTTGCTGAGAGATATATTTACAGTGCTTTGTTACTAGTATTAAAGCTTGTTGAGAGATATATTTACAGTGCTTTGTTACTAGTTTTAAAGCTTGTTGGGAGATATATTTACAGTGCTTTGTTACTAATTTTAAAGCTTGTATGATGTATTTTTACAGTGCTCTGTTACTAGTTTTAAAGCTTGCTGAGAGATATATTTACAGTGCTTTGTTACTAGTTTTAAAGCTTGTTGGGAGATATTTTTACAGTGCTTTGTTACTAATTTTAAAGCTTGTGTGGAGATATTTTACAGTGCTTTGTTACTAGTTTTAAAGCTTGTATGGAGATACTTTTACAGTGTTCTGTTACTAATTTTAAAGCTTGTTGAGAGATATATTTACAGTGCTTTGTTACTAGTTTTAAAGCTTGTTGAGAGATATATTTACAGTGCTTTGTTACTAGTTTTAAAGCTTGTTGAGAGATATATTTACAGTGCTTTGTTACTAGTTTTAAAGCTTGTTGAGAGATACTTTTACAGTGTTTTGTTACTAGTTTTAAAGCTTGTTGGGAGATATTTTTACTGTGCTTTGTTACTAGTTTTAAAGCTTGTATGGAGATATTTTTACAGTGTTTTGTTACTAGTTTTAAAGCTTGTATGGAGATATATTTACAGTGTTTTGTTACTAGTTATAAAGCTTGTGTGGAGATATTTTTACAGTGTTTTGTTACTAGTTTTAAAGCTTGTTGAGAGATATATTTACAGTGCTTTGTTACTAGTTATAAAGCTTGTGTGGAGATATTTTACAGTGCTTTGTTACTAGTTTTAAAGCTTGTATGGAGATATTTTATGGAGCTTTGTTTCTAGTTATTGTTACAGAAATGTTACAATTTATTTTACACTTGTTTTGCTTTTATTTGATGTTTATTTGATGTTTATAGTAATTCATTGTGAACTGTGATTCAGATCATTGTATTCCGGAGAATAACATCCATTCCATACAATAACAGTATCTACAGAGAGGTTTTATTCAGAATTCTTACCTTTACAAATGTATTAGTACCACAAGCTTCGTTTAGATTTGCATGATTTGTAGAATTAATCATATTTGTCTGCGTTAATATGATCAGTTTTAACGTGCACCTTTGTAAATATTCATTATGTTAAAAAGACATTATTTGTTTTTCATATATTTGACTTGAAATGTTTCATCATTTGAATTAAAATGATTATATTTGAGGAAGATTTCAACTACACTTTTAAAACTTCACTTGACTGAGTTACAGAGGAAATGTCCTTATGATAAAACACTGTAATGACATGCATATATAAGTGTCATTTGGTATTGTTTCTGTAAATTGCTCTGAAATTTTGCTACTGAATGCTGTTTTCTCAAAGGAGAATATTTTGTCTGGTTTTTTTTAAGACCATTTACTTGAAATGTTTCTACAAAAGTTAGAATTAAACTAGGAACTGATATTAAGATATAACACTACATTGTCTCATGTACATATGTGTCATTTGACAATGTTTCTGTAAATTGCTTTGAAATTTGGTTTCGGAAACATGTATTCTTATTGCAGATCATTTTGTAAAGGTTATAAAAAAAATCTTTCAAAAGTAATTTTACTGAAATAATTTAATAAATATTTACTGTGATATTTATATAAACATTTAAATTAGATATTTAAAATGTTATTCATTTGAAGTATATTGAGTTACATCTTAATCTCTAAGGAAGTTACAAGAACAGCAATACTGATTTGGGACAGACACAAAGGGACATGATGGGCATCGTTAACACTATACGTTCCCCATAGAATAGGAGAGATATTTAGAGAAGGACCTTTTGTAAAAACAAAATTTAAATTTGAAAATAATTCTTTGTTAACATATTGTTACAACAACATATCACAGCATCCTTCGATCAGTTATGAATTATTGTTTGTGTTGTGTGATGATGATTTTTTCCAGATGTAATAACACTCAGGAAATACTATTTGATTTTTATAAGTTATTTTTGGAATGCTCAACACATCTATACTGCTGTACCCTGTAAGATGTGATGAAATCAGTGATATGTTTAAGGTAACGGTTACTAGCCCTTAGATGGGATATATCATCACTTGTTAACAGCAGAAGTGACCAGGACTAGGTGAAACTAGGGGATGAGTCAGGTTGGTTGTTAGTTTGATATAGAAATGACCAAGATATCAATTCAGGATTAATTTGATAATTGTACATAGTTTACAGCCACGTTAAAATCAATTCATTGGTACTCATCATTTTTTTTCGCTATATTTTTGTACAAAAAAATCATGGCAGCATAATCAGACTACTTTTTTTATGACAATTTTTTTCAAAAAGAAATAATTTAAGATATTAATATTGAATATTATCACAATTATTTACAAATTTTTCAGTTGTGGGTAATTACTGTTAAATGCATGAATGGTGCTGGGATCATTGCTTTTCTCTCTTCTAAAGGCATCTGAACCTCAGAAAGCCTAGCCCTACTTTCAGTGGTTTACTGGACAATAGATATATCATAGTGGTGGCAGCAATCTTTAGCTGTGTCACTAGGTCAACTGATATACACTGTTACCATCACCAGCTGCTGTGTAAACTTTCTATTTTTGAAACTGTCCTAAGAAGATGTCCAGGATAAGAAGTTGAATGTTGTAAAGCTGCTGAAATTTGAAAAAAGTTATATAAATTAAAAGAGAGAAAAAAAAAATCGGAAAAAATGCATGCCAGGTTTTTTTCCTTTGCATATGTCAAAAAGTTTAAGTCGTGTTAAATTCCTTTGACTTAAATTGAAGCCACAATATTGAAATGAAATCTTAGAAAGATAACTGTCATCACTCACAAGTCAGTTTCATATTGGATTCCTGGGCCACAGGGAGACAGATGGTCAGGGGTTTATTAATTCCGAGATTTTTTTACAGATATGTCATGATTTTTCTGAAACTGTGAGAATAGTTTGTCTGCAATTGTGTACAGTCCACATTTTCATGTATGGTAAGAAGGGAAAATGACTTCTGAATTTAGATGAGTTTATCACAGTAAAATTTACAGTCATCTTAACTCAGGTTGATACTATAGAGCTAAGAGAGCTTATCAAAGTTGATAAAAAAGCATAGGTAACCTTAGCAACAGCTTCCTTTATCATCGACCAATATGGTCTGTTACCTCTTGTTCTCTACACCAGTGTACAGTGATCCGTCATGTATTAATTGAAGTGATACAGAGCATGTTGTTTATAAAACAATGTTTTCTGGCCTTTTTATACATCTTATATTCATGAATTCAATATAAGACATTCCATTAAATCAGGGTTGATATAAACTGGGAAGACTCAGGATTAAAAACCTTATGTTACGAGTTTGTCCGTCAATTGACAACTTCTTGCATGAAAATGGTGCCAATGGGAGTAGGTCGATGAATATCAAATCAGAGATCGTCATCACTAAGGAACTTGTAAAGATCGTAATCACTAAGGTACTTGTAGAGATCGTAATCACTTAGGAACTTGAAGGTCTTGAAGCGAGATCGTAATCACTAAGGTACTTGTAGAGATCGTAATCACTTAGGAACTTAAAGGTCTTGTAGCGAGATCGTAATCAATAAGGTACTTGTAGAGATCGTAATCACTTAGGAACTTGAAGGTCTTGTAGCGAGATCGTAATCACTAAGGTACTTGTAGAGATCGTGAATACCTGGATACTAGAGATTGTTATCACTTCGTAATCGCAATAACTAAGGAAAATGCTTCTTGAATGCTCTAGATCTTTGCGATTTTCTTAAAGATGAATTATGTTGTGTGTATTTCATTGTACAATTTTACCATTATACAACTATGTCTTATTTTTGTATATATATATGTATGGGGTTATACATATTGTAATTTTCAAAAAACGGCTGGCTTTGCCAGTTAAACTTTAGACCAAATTTCTCACTGTTGTATGTATATGAATATTTTTACAACAATGACCGGTGATGATGATGTTCTTGATGTTACTTCTCTGAGTCTTGTAATATTCATAATTTGAAAGTTTTTAATATTTGAATATTCGTCTATTCCTACAAACTAATATTATCATATTGAGTTTCCTGCTGAAGTAAAATTAAGTAGACTTAAGAAATAATCTGTTTTTGTACATATGTGTATGTTTTATTTTATTCAGAATGAGTAAAACAAAGCCCAATGTGTGATATTTAGATGGGTACTATAATGAAATTTTATTATTTTTTCCTCATTCAATAAATATATGTGACTTCCTTATACAATTATTAAAAATAGTATTCTCACCTTTATGTCTATCTTTTATTTTTTTTTATGAAATGTTGTAAAATTTAGAAATTTTGGGGGACTGCAAGTGCAGGGACTATCAATACTGCATTATAGGTTCGTTAGTAGTTGTAAGCGATCTCCAATATCCTGTGTAGTTTTATGATATTAAAACCAAACCAAATTTTCTCGTGTTCAAAAGAATCATAGAATCGTCGCTCAGATGCTCTTTTCACTCAAAGTGAACTGGAATTGTTCATTCTAAATTCTGCCATAGGAACCAGCACACGTGCTCTAATCTACATCAAAAACGAGGTTATAAATCAAAAAATAAATGAAACATTTCAGAAGTAATCGCAAAATATTTGCGATTTTAAAAGGAATGTAACAAGCACAGCATCATTTTACTTCAAAACATCGTTTTCATCTAACGATTTTTCAGGAACCCCGATTGCTTTAAAAGGACCAGGCATCTCTGTCCCAAAGTGATCACATCTTCCGTTTGTTTGACATAGCATTGAAGATAATCTATAAAAGGATGCACTAGACCTTATCGATTCAAATATCTATCAGCACTACTGAAGGAGAAACTTCTAAAGCTTCTTCTCGTTCCCAAATTTGGCTCACGGACGGGTATACATCATTGCACTCCTTTCAATAATTAAAACCTCAAATTATTTTTGGTTGAAAGACCTGAGGTAATGTAGAACTAGAAGGAATTTAAGTTTTACTTTTAGTTCCTTCATTGGACCCCATTCCACTGCCGCAAATGGATAGACCTTCCACATGTCGACATTGAATTCTTCTTTTTCGAATTGTCTTTAACTTATTAAATGTCGGCGAGGTTTCCCGTAACCTGTCATGGGTTTCGAATACACATTTTAAATGCTGTTTCAAAACACTATTGATTATAAAAAGATTAAGTGAACTTTCCCATCGGGCTATGGACATCTATTTCGATTACGCATGATTTTCCTTGGTCGTCTCCTGGTTTTAAACGATTTAGACCCTTAGACCAGTCGTAGAATAACGAAGCACTTTGATTATTTGATATAGCTGTATCTCTAACTCTCAACTTCGTATTGAAAAGAGCTATTGATTTCTGTTAATTTGTTTGTTTGTTTTTTTTTTGTTTTGTTTTTTACAAATCTTTGTAAAATCAAACGAGGGGAGGCTTTTTAAGGGCCGCTAGAAGCCTACACGCCTAGGGAATACAGAATTTGACAAAACTTCCAGCTCTACTAAGAAGTAATAAATTATTGAACTGTAATAATCATTGCGATATCAGAAATATATACAAAAGAGATAGCCACGTCTATGCTACCACCAAGTTCAGTACCTCGATTCCTCGACACCGACACCCCATCCTAGAAGTTATAATATATGTATATGTGGACATACTCGGGATATTATTTGTCGAACTTTTAATTCCACTTCCAGTTTCTGTTTTGTATTTATTATTAAACTTGACCCTCCACTTGTGAATTCTAATGCCATCAAATAAAAAAAAAAGAAAAAATCAAAACAAAAAACACCAAAGCATTAGAGAATAAATACTTTTTAATCTATATAATGAATTAAGTCGCATATGCACATAAAATAAAATAAATAGATATATACAAATGTATGATTATTTATATATACACATATATATCTATTTATATATACTTGACTAGAAATGTTCTGTACATGGTATATTGTCAAAGCGTTACAAGGATACAGATGATAAATTCCGACAGTTATACCCACAGACAATCCGTGATATTATACACACAGTTCATTGTAAGTCCGATACATTGAACACACGATATACCGAGCGTAGAGCTGACAATACAACTATTACGATGTACAACCAATACAGCGTAAGGTTGAAATTCTAAGGCAATGAACCTACAGTTCCTGTATAACAAATATTACTAAATATATACTTCTAAATGTAACATTGTCAATAAGTTTTCCACTTTAACGGTACGACAACAACAAGGAGCACTTCTAAACATGAATGAAGTAAAATTATTACTGCAGATTGTACTCGTTAATTGTGGCCCAGCTTGTTCCGTAGTCGTTCGTACTCCTGTAATCTGAAACAAAGTAACAATTATAAGGTATAATGAGTGTTTAATAAAATAACCCGTGGTTATTAGTTAACCTGTAGGTTATAAATTAACCTGTATGGTTATTAGTTAACCTTTAGGGTTATTAGTTAACCTGTAGGTTATAAATTAACCTGTAGGGTTCTTAGTTGTGTAAAAAGTTGAAGCATTTCTGTCAGAATCATTTATTCGTGCATCAGACTGTTTTGAGAATTCCAACAAGATTTATCCTGCAACTGGCACCGTCTTTGTTGGAATACACCTGCCACATATACTTTTGCTGTGACGGAAAACTGCTATATTTTAGCACGTGCCAAAATACAGCTTATTGTTGTCAGATACTGATCTGTAAAACAAACGACTTTCACTTCATGCTAATTCGGTTTGAGTTACGGGTATGTATTTGAAAGCAAGAAGAGGTTTGATTACGTATGAAGTTAAAGCCGATGCAGTATTGACTATCAAATGAACATGTTTGGTCCTTGATATTAAGAGCAAAGTAATATTTGAAAGTTATTACCCGAATACCATAAGAGAAATCTTAGGTAAGTTTTAAATTTTCAGGAAAAGTCTGTGGTTGAAAAATTCGGTACCACACATAGTGTATGACCTGATCATCAATGAGCATTGAATTTATAACACTACAGATTGATCCACTTAACCCCAGTCTTTAACCTGACCCTTTGTTGACCCCGCACTCTCTGTAATATGGAGATTTACGTGTTACACACCTAATCTGACGAGTAACTTTGTTCATCCTCTTAACCTGTGCCTGCTAGCTTTGACATTGATAACACCTTTGTTTATCCATCCACTTGATACAATTTACGACAATATCTCCACCTGATTACCTGCTTATATATGTACCTCAGGGAAACAACCCCATTGTCACTAGTTGTTAGATCACTTACCGGAGAGCATTCACTTTGATGAAACCTTTAGCGTCTACAGGATCATAGTTGCCTTGAACGTTCATACTGAAAATATTCATCAACGTAAAATATATATATATATTGTGATATATATGTTCATGTATCTAAATTGGAATTCTGAATAATTAAGTCGTCATTTTTTCCCCTTTTAACAATTTTGTTCGCACCACCTGTCTTCCTTCTAATGTCAAACATTTACAAAGAAAAAGGAAACACTTTAAAAATTATGATTAAGAATCCAGAATCGTTTTAAAGTTCTTTCCTCTTGGCATACTCTCCCTTTTACTGGAATCATATTTAGAGTATATAAAGTTTTAAACCTTCCATTTTGATCGTACGAATGCAGATAAAAGCTGTCATAGTACAGGGCGAAGTGTTTGATCGTCGTAATTGTTGGGTTTATTGTCGTTTAAATGCATCTGGAGATGTAATTTACCTTAAACACTTTGATGACGAAGACCACAGATGTAGTACATGTAATACAGTGAACAATACTGATGTTACGTAATGACTATGAATGTGGTATCAAACATCTCTTGTTCATATATATATAATACCAGGTTGAGACTTCAGATCATCTGTGGTATCAAACATCTTTAGTTACTACATACTTTCTGTGTTATCAAACATCTATAGTTACTACAGACCTTCTGTGTTATCAAACATCTCTAGTTACTACAGACCTTCTGTGGTATCAAACATCTCTAGTTACTACAGACCTTCTGTGGTATCAAACATCTCTAGTTACTACAGACCTTCTGTGTTATCAAACTTCTCTAGTTACTACAGACCTTCTGTGGTATCAAACATCTCTAGTTACTACAGACCTTCTGTGTTATCAAACATCTCTAGTTACTACATACCTTCTGTGTTATCAAACATCTCTAGTTACTACAGACCTTCTGTGTTATCAAACATCTCTAGTTACTACAGACCTTCTGTGTTATCAAACATCTCTAGTTACTACAGATATTCTGTGGTATCAAACATCTCTAGTCACTACAGACCTTCTGTGGTATCAAACATCTCTAGTCACTACATACCGTCTGTGTTATCAAACATCTATAGTTACTACAGACATTCTGTGGTATCAAACATCTCTAGTTACTACAGACCTTCTGTGGTATCAAACATCTCTAGTTACTACAGACCATCTGTTTTAATAAAAATCTCTAGTTCATTAATATCTAATACCAACTTGAAACTACAGCCCTTTTAAACACATCATCGGATCGGCTAGGTAACAAAAACTACATTCAATCAAATTACTTGTGGTTTATGATTACCTGACAAGTTCCTCGTTATAAAGACTGAGCGGAGAGTGCCGAGCTATCACGTAGACAGATCCCTTATAGACCTTCAAACGAACTGTTCCCTCCACATGCTCCTGGCTCTTATTAATGCAGAAACGCGTAAACTCACATTCTGGACTGAACCAAAATCCTGGATAACAGAAAACAAACATATGCACGTGAAGATTTAGCGTATACTAAGAAATTCGAGAAAAAGGAAACTGTGTAGTACATTGAAATTGTGAAAATAACGGAATTCATCAAAGATTACAGACCATAGGTGAGAACAAGACAGATCAGAAGATAAAGGTAGGACCGTAACTAACAGTAACAGAAAAGAATGAAAGTTATCAAATTAGAAGTTGATCATCCATAGGGGAATAAAAAGGATTGGAAGGTGGATCATCAATCACAGAAATCAGCTCCTTTCACAAAAGCATTGAAGAACAGATAGAAAGAAATACTGTTCAACTAAAACAGGGTTAATCGAAGAAAAATTGTATGAATGTGTAAACATAGGAAATAAAAATAAACGAAAAATAAAAATCTCTAAAAAAAAGGATGATGTCCGACACCTTTATAAAAACAATAAACTCTATAAAAGATTATGTCCGGTACCTATGGAAAACAGTAAATTCTAAAAAAGAGGATTATGTTTGACACTTTTGAGGAACAGTAAACTCTAAAATAAAAAAGGGTTTATGTCCGACACAGTGTGAACAGCCTGGTTACTTTAAAGCAGAGTCTTCTTATAGTAGCTGACTATCTTTCTGGACAACATACGGGAGGCCCGTCATCACAGACAGGTTCTTGTGACCTTGTAAGTAACTTACCTCTATAAACTTGATCAGAAAACTTCACATCGAGTTCTCTTTTGATTCTTCGTACCTCCTGTAATGAAGGTAATACGCATTTAGAGAAAAAAACAATTGTTTTGAAACAAAACAGCAAAATTTCTCTTTTTCTTGACAATGTCAATGTCTACTCGTAATGCTTACTTATTTGTACAATAATGATACCTAACGTTATCAATGACATCTCTACAACCAGCAACTGTACCCCAGAAATCCTATTACTTTTCTGTGCCATCAATTACTGAACAACCAAGATCCTATTATTTTCCTGTGCCAACAATGACTGTACATTTAACTAATGTTCAAAAGGCACACAAATGAATTACACCCTTTTATATGAATTTACAGTTAGATAAAGTAGAGCCAAAGAATGAAGTAATGTGAATCATACAGCTGTTTGATCCTACTAGGATTTGTCAGTGATGCTATGTGGTTAAAATGTTAAATCAGAAAAACATCAAGTAGATGTGTATATCCTGAACCGTGCCACTTTTCGCATCAAAACATATTAAAAAATCGCCTTATTTTTGCTATTAACTCGATCATGTACCCTTTCATAAAATCCTCGCCCTTACAAATCAATATCACTCTTCAACAATCTTGAAACAATTGAACTTAACCATGTTCATAATGTCATATCATTGCGTGATTGAATATAACTTTATTAAATCATATCCACGAACCACAGGGAAATCATATGTAATGTAATTACGCCCTCTGCGTCATTTAAATCCTTCCGGCAGTAACACTGTGTACCAACCTTATCCATGGTGAACACTTCCATGTCGGTGTGAGCAGTAGCCAATATAGCGCCCCCTGGAGTTTCGTAGATACCTGACGACGGCAGAGGAGGTACCGGGGAGAACAGACGTGATATAATATTAGGACAAAAGAAGAATTATATTGACAAGTTGTTGCTTTCTAGATGGGTTGAGGGATTTTCATCAACATTTTAAACAGAAAGTGTTCTTGTTTTATCTACAGACTTTTCAAAAAATCATTTTTTATAGATGACAGTGGCGTATTTTAGTTAAACTGATGTTAGTTATGTTAAATTGCGATTGTTTCACTCTTGAGTATACATGAATTTTATCGTAGGTTATATTTTCTAAAGTCACACGTTAATAGTCTCATGCTTTCCCCCTGTGCTTAACATATATATCCACATGTTGTTCGACTTTGTGACATGCAGTGTTGCTGAATCTGTCTTACCTCGTGATTTCATGCCTATAAATCTATTCTCTACGATATCTATTACTCCAACTCCGTGTTTTCCACTGAAAGGAAATTAAAAATACAAACGTTTAATTGTTCTTCAACCAAACTTCATATGCTCTGATATCATCATACAAAGAGGTCGATGACGTCACAATAGTGATCAAATATAACCAAACTGAGTCGTAATATTAAAATACGTATTACATTTTCTACAAGGATATAGAATAATACTGAATTTACGATAACCTGAAGCGAGATGAGGGGGCTCTGGTACGTACCCGATTTGGTTTAGGTACAGGAAAAGCTCTAGGGCGTCCTCCTTCACTGTACCATCCTCCAGATTGGTGACCTTGATAGGTAAACCTGATGATTGCCAAAATGTTATGTAAGAATAACAGTCACACATCTGACATAACTATAATAGCCATGCATTTGTATCTTTCGATCATTTTTTTTAATTTCCTCGATCGCTTAATAGGTTTCAAAATTTGCCCCTTAGCATCACTGATGAATTCTAAAGGAACAAAAGAAATTTATGATACTGTTTAATCCTGTTGCTCATTATTCTATATTTATATTGGTAGGTGCTATTCACTTGTGTCTTTTGTATAATCATCTGACGTTGCCTTAGTATTGGAGTATGAACAACATTTAAATATTCACACCCTAAATGAAAAATTTCTTTTTTTTTCAATCGCAAATAAAAACGTGCCTGAAAAGAAAAAAATCAACAAGGGGGCCTACAGATGTTCGACAGATCTTATTGATTCCTTTGTTATATCATTAATAAACCAAGGGATCAGCTTTCTGTTATGATACACTTCCCCTGCCATGAAACTGTCTGTAAGGAAACGGGTCTAGTCCTATGCATTTAGACAAGACATATGTACATGTCCCTCGTTCTAGAAAATCATACAGTTCTTACATACGACACAGACAAATGGAACCTGTGATAGTCGATATAAATCTGCACAAAGCATTTCCTCAGCTATGTAAACATAAAGCATGAAAGCGACGAGTTCGTATTGACTGCAAATATCAGATTTAGATCCAATTCATCATTTAATCAATGTAATGGTCTGTGGCAAATTAACGACAATGAACAAATTGACTAAGGACTGGGCACATTTTCCATTTTAATACAAAAAAAAAAAACAAAAAACAAAAAAAACCCAATATCCCTCTATTGATTATGTTTTTAATCATAACAATTTTGTCCCCATGACGCTTCTTGTGAATAAAAACTCGAACTCCAAATCATAACACAATGAGCAAAATTGTTGTAAAATCTATCGCAAATATGAAAATATATAATGATAAAAACACATTGTATATGACTTTCTATATTGACCGCCTTCCGTATTTCATATGTACGTAGTAACTATATACAATTTATACTTAGCAGAGATAACGAACTATCAATATTATACTGGCCTTTCTTGAACTCCAGTTCCAACCTCTCTGGTTTATCTGGGGCATCTTCCGGGTGGACAGCCATCTGTAGCATATCCTTAGGAAACTCAGTCTTTGGGTCCTCAAGTATTCCTGATTCGTAACTGACGACAAACAAATAAATGACTGCCAGAATTTTTTATTAACGAGTTTGAAGTCATTTGTACCTAACCTTACATATGATGTCAATACATCACAAAGATTTCGTCCTACTTTTCATTTCACATTGTAGCATGTCGTTATGATAATTTCTCTAATGGAAACTCTCAACTGGAAAGATGGCAGATTATACACATATATTCGACGTTCTTCTAAAATTATCAGATATACGGAAATAACGAAATCTACTCAGTTGTGAGGCTAGTGCGCCTTCTCGTCGAGATTTCAACTTTTCTTTCGATCCCTTTGGATTTCCATCAGCCTCCACTTAAGTTTAAATTTAGGCCCTTAGCATTACTGACGATACCTATCATCTGTATGAAACAGGTTCTTATCTGAGGAATCAAATGGTGTTATTAACTTGTGTGTCTTTTGTACAATCATGGATAAGCTCTTCGAAGGATTCAAACTCATATGAACACAAAAGTAGGCGAAGAGATGTTAAGTTCTCATTGGTATGACAATATTTTATTTTATATTTTATATATTTTATATACCAAATACCGTAATTTTGGCAAGATCTTCCATGGATGATTAAAACGAGGCCTTCAACCACATCGCAAATAAATAAAGTGATGCTAAATAACAGTATATTTATCATAAATAATGATACTACCTTATATGCATCAAATTGGCGTCCATACTCCAGGGAGATTTAGGTGTCACGGGTAGGGGAATGCCGTTTTTCTGTAATTAAGTCCATATTTTCTAATAAAAATTAATAAATTTTCAGTGGTTAGAATCAACCTATGATCAACCTGTAATGAAGACAGAAGTTAACATTTTCCCATAATACTTCAAAATATATAGTTGTGTCTCACTATTGACATGAACGTATTAGCGATGATATCGTGGGATGGGTTATTAAGCTAGTGTTATTGTTGTATAATGAAGACATTTTTTGTTAGAGTAACTAACAACATTGTATACAAAGTGTCTTCTCGTAGATGAATACGGAAAACTGGACAACAGATGTCCTTTGTGATTTAAATTATACTTTAATAGAATGTCATCTGCAGTCTAGGCAAGAAACATGATTAGATATCTGGGTGGATAAATCGATACTACCAGAACGACATGTTGTGTTAAGTTTACCTTTGCTCATGCTCATAATATCAATTACAGCTATTTACTAAAAACATTATCAACAGAATGTTAGTAAAAATACAAAAACGTACGGCCTATTTTAGTCAGTATATCGTTCAATGGAAGACACATACCTCAGCGTACTCAAATAGCGCGTTTCTTCCTTCAAACCTGTTGTAGAATTCCGGCATTTTCCACGGAGCTATTACCTACAATCACAAGGCATTGTCTTTGCTCAAATATAAACTTTTGTTTTCATTTTAAATGTAGTATTAACATTGAAATATGTGACAAATACACAAATCACATCCCATTGCTTTTCGCTCTGAACATTTATCAGCATTGCTTGTTTCAGTATGTCAACCACCAACTAAATATTACAGACCAGTGTTTTAACCGAAGCCTTTAAACAATATTTTCAATATTGAATTTATATATTAATTAATTAAAATGTACCTCTATATTGGGGTGTAATGCATACGCTCCCAGCTCAAATCGGATCTGGTCATTCCCTTTCCCTGTTGCACCATGGGAAACGTACCGAGCGTTCTCTGCTTTTGCAACCTTGATCATGGCCCTAGAAATACATTGTTACAAAAGGAGAGATACATACAATACCAAAATTTTCGTTGGAAACACAAAACTCTTATTTTGTTCTTTAAATCCTTTAGTCTATAAGAGAGGGCGAAATGCGTTCTGGGATCCAACTGTCAAGAGGCTCGTTTGGGTTCCGATGATGACGAAATCAAACTTTCGTCCATACGAAAGGACAACAGGAAGTGATGATACGCCGAAAAAGGAAGGCATAACGAAGTTTCACCAGGACCAAAGAATTTCTTAATACGGCACATATGACAGAGACATGATATCCACCACGTTTCATAGAGGGTAACGACAAAAATATGTTTGTCCTACGTAGATTGAAATGTCAAATGTAGGGAACTCTGTATTACTATTGCACAGCGGGAGGCATTAGCAGTATTCTCAATGTAATGTTAGGTAAGTTGTCGATAATAAAAGCAAATTGAGTAGGTACATTATGACACCGCATCGATTTGATTAACCATGAGAAGCGATTGATCTAGTCTCTCGGAGAGTGTAATAGGCCATAGAGGAAAGAAATAGATAAATTTCAAGTTAAAGACACAAAATTGTGATAAAGATGTAACTATCATTAAAGAATGTTTGAAAAACTAATGTATCTTATTCGTGTACTCGAGGACTGAGTAAATCCCAACTTATGGAATCGGGAACATTTTCAACTAGTAGCAATAATACACTAAAATGAATAATTGAAGAAAATGAGCACTTCATGAAATATTTGTGTTCTACTCTCTGTATTCTCCTACTTATTACTGCCTTATGATCATTTGTGCAATATTTTCATGTATGTACCTTGCGATGCAGGGACGCGCCAGAGCAGTGCCAAGGAGGTATCTGTCCTCGTATGCTGCTCCATTAGCCTGGACAGCCGGCCAGATAAACTCTTCCACGAACTCCTTCCTCACGTCAGGTATAACCATCTAAGTGTCAAAGCAAAAGGTTTCATAAAATTAAATTAATTATAAGGAAAATATATACATGTTCTTGACTTTGTTCTAAAATGATCAAATATATGGAAATTACGAATTTTTTGCAGCTAGTGCACCTTCAAATCTAGGTTGTTACTTTTCTTTCGATCACTTCAAATTTTCCGCAGTCGCCTCCTAAGCTTCTTAATTTCTAAGCATCAATGAAAAGTCCTAGAAGGACGAAACAGTTGTGTGATGCAGAATGAATTCTTGTTTTACTGTATATAACTCGAAATTTGTTTATAAAGGTGCAATCCCTTTGTTTGTACTTTGAACAATCTATTCGATGGAGCTACCGTATCAAGGATTCATACAACACCATTTTCAATTAACTGCTGTTTAACTTTAAGCAATCCAGGATTTCCTTTCACAGGTAATATGTGTATAATACGTGTTGGAGTATATGTGGTGATAATTTGTTTTGATCGTTATCTCCAACGGATCACTAATAGTGCATTACATCTTAATGTTCTTTCTGGTGAGACACTCATATAATTGAAACTTGTTAGATCAACCACTTACATACCCAATCTTTTCCTAAACCACAGAAAACATCCAAATCTCTTCAGACACATATACATATCACTTTGTTTAAAGTAACACGTAGTCAGTGACTCGGAAGTAATACTTAAACACAATTTGTCCTATGTCTAGGTTGCCAAACGTATTTGAGATAATTCATTAATATATTATTTGTGAACTGTTTTACTAATTATCGTCATTAATTTGATTGGTTACTGTACGGCAATTTGAATTTTATAAAATGTTGTATATAAACATCATCAAATAGCTGTCCATCGTTATAAAATTGTTTTGGAATATTTTCCACCATAGACAACGGGATCTCAGAAATAATTACATACATTGGGTAGATACATCATATAGTAGTTGCGGGCTATAATGTATAATCTTATCATAGGGGCCTGATAGTTGAGCACTGTACAATTTCGGTGGTACAAAGCGTCATGTTTGTGTTCCTGAAATAAAAGTCTGATGATCTTGACATTTCCTGTAGTTTTAGCAACAACTGACTATATGCTTAATCTGAAATAAAGAGTCTAAAAATTTAGGAAAATCTTGAAAACTCAACTGATAAAGGGTCCACCTAGTGTGCAAAGTACTATTATTCGCTGACGTGAACCGAAAACTATCCACACCTTGAATAGAGTGATGATGAATCTTGACTTTGACACATTCTGCAAGATCCAAACTACAGTATATAGAGGTATAAAGAATACTTGACTTTTTTGTGTTATTGGTTCACTAGTCTCGATATTTTGTTTTCTTGTTTATTTACCACCGAGAAGACAACATTGGTTGATTCGTGTGCAAAAGATCCGTATGCATCATTCAGTTAAACGTATTTCTACTATTCTTTGGCAAAGAAGTTTACAAACGAAACGGGAAAATCGGGTGGAAATCTTGAAAACACGGTGCTTTTGTAAATAGGAAATGATCTGAATTGATTACCGGTGATATTTATTATACTATTCAAACATTTTGTGCAGGCTGTTAATTAATACTGTGGATTGTTGACACGAGTTCACATTTAAGAGGAGTACAGTTTGTCCTGTTTGATTTTATGATAGTTTTGTAGCTATAACTGATTTCCATGTTTACACTGTTCTTTCCTTAATAATGAAGAATTAACAGGCGATGTTAATGACCAGCCAGGGAAAGTGCAATAGGTCTCCAGTCTCTATAATGTATGGTTAATTTGCCCAGACATCGTGTAGAAGATAAAAACGTAAATTTAGGAGTTACTTTCCATTTCTCAGTTTGTAGAAGAACTTAAGTATATTGAAATAAATAAACAATTTTCGTCATGAAAGTTAAATCTAGTTCAAAACCCTCTTTGACTAAATCAAGAATATATGTTAAGCTTGCGTGCAACCGCGTCAGTGATAACCTATTGATTCTGTCCGTAATTAGCTTGGTCAGGAAAAATTTATTCTGGGAATTTGCGGAAGTGGTGTTAATTTCCCCAATAAATCAATTGACGAGTCTTACCACCGGCTGGTAGTCACGTTAGCAACACAAACAACTGTTCCGATATTTATTTGTTCTCGTATACAGTATTTTTCAGTACCAAGATCAATTAGCGGTAAAATGTTCGTTGTCTGATTAAAAATATGTTTCAGGGGAATTCTATCTAACTGATGCCTGATACTCATAAACATTCTTCTTTCTTTATTATCAAAAGAGTGTATGAGATGTGTTGTGCAAGTTCAAAAATATCAATAAAGCAAAGAACAAGCTATACGTTTACTGAGCCTTTTTGCCGAGTAACAATCATTCATTACTCAGTCTAAATCCAAAATAACACCTGTTACCTCAGCTGTTCCCTCAATCTATATGTACATCCCATGACATGTTCATTACTCAGCCTACATCGCGAGTAACACATGTTACCTCATCCTATGTATACAACCCCTGAGTTTGCTCATTACTCAGCCTACATCCCTAACAACACCTGTTCCCTCACCCTATGTATACAACCCCTGAGTTTGCTCATTACTCAGCCTTCATCCCGTGTAACACCTGTTATCTCACCCTATGTATACAACCCCTGAGTTTGCTCATTACTCAGCCTATATCCCTAACAACACCTGTTCATTCAACCTATGTGTATACAACCCCTGAGTTTGCTCATTACTCAGCCTTCATCCCGAGTATTACCCGTTACCTCATCCTATGTGTAAAACTAAGCAGACGCTCACAACTCAGCATTCTTCACTAATTTTATAAACGAAGTACATATTCATGCCCGATTTCTTTCGTTTATATATCATTATAAACTCCTTATAGACAGCCTGCCTACCTAAACGTCAGTGTGAAGCCCATATGAAAAGAATAGATGGCCTCTATTTATAGCATCATCATTAAATGTACATACTTTTTATGGCCATTCTTCCATTATGAAGACGTATGATTGTGTAAATGCAATGTACGACAAACCATCAATGTATCTGAAACACATCTGAAATTAATCTTTGTAAACATTTAATCCTTAATAGCTATAATATACTATGATATTAGCCGCTCACCTTTTCGGCTCCTAATTTCGCTGCTTTGGCCTTGGCTGCTTCAAAATCTTCATCTTGTCCAACATTGGCCTTTAATAAAAGAGTGGATAATGCAGAAGTTAATCACGATACACGATAAGATCACGGTTTTTTAACATAGTTTCTTCATATTACGACACCCTCATGTCTGAAATTGTCATTTCCTGACTTTTGTTAGAATGTCTGGTGAAATTTATAATGCTAGGCTCAGTGTAACCGATTCAACATTTCTGGATAAGATTGTTATCATGATAGAAGAATGTGATGGCACCAACCATTCTAAAGAACGTTGTTGCCAAAGACAGACATATACAGAAACTTGTTGTTAGCATAGAAAAAATAACAAGTCTACAGAAAGTTGTTATCATAGAAGAAACGTTATGTCAACAGAAAGTGTAAGAAAATAGGAAATCATATTTGAAAAGAATATTGCAATTTTTATCACATTTTAACGATTAACTTATCATTATTTTTTATGTAATTGATCCATAATACATAAGACTGTGTTTACTCTTGGCGTGGTTCGCTTCGGTTTCTTTAGAGTAAACTCCAGTTTATGTGTTACAGCTCAATTACTTAAAAAATAAAGATAATCTTTTTTTAAAAAAAAAAAAAAAAAAAACTCGCCATGATGTCATTAGAGAGCGCTGTAACATTGCTGTAATCACAGAAAAAAAATTATTAAAAAATGAACTATAATGATGTCGTTAAAATATAATTAATACCAAATTGGACATTGACATCAGTCCTCGAAATAGATTGGTTTGATTTGTAGCTGCTTTGTGTCTATTTACAGGTAGTGTCGTTAAAAGACACGCCAGGTTTGCACTGCTGCTTTATACACTGAATATATAATTGCTGTACTTGTACATCCTCTGATTTTGTTAAGGTATAGAGATCCCCCTGCTAATGATAAGCAGTGTGAGAGAACTAAAATCACATAATATAGACCAACATATTAACCTTTTGGCTATTATAAATATTAGAATAACTTGAAACAACACATCGACTTAAGCATTAGTGCTTTCATTCCTTAATCTTCATGATGCTTACTATTTGAATATATATATATATATTTAGCACAAGGCCTCTACGCTTAAAATCAAACTTGCGGTGGAGGTATTTTGTTGTGTTGAAAAAATAATAAGGAAGAAAAAATATTATGATAGATTTAATAAGATTTGAAAGGATTTGTATCATTCGTTATCAAAAGTAAAACGACATACAATAGAAACCCGTGTTGTGATATCACGTCCATCATGACCTACGACAATACTAATATACACAATGACAAAGACGTCCAGTGGTTTATCTGCTAGGGTTGATGTGAAATTTGTGACTACACATGTATTTACATGTAACACCATAACGAGTGAATACATGTCAATTTATAAAATGTAAATGGAATTGATGTAACTTATTATCCCATCTTTTGTCTTTGTCATTATTGCGTGCTTGTGTTGTGCTACAAGCCATTCTGTTCATGCGCATGACATACGTATACTTATAAGGGCTGTATCCCATAGCATGGTTGTATGAATTACTCTATAAAAGTCACTGCCGACCTGGAGTGCGTTCTTAATAGCACCGTAAAAGAGTTCCTGGTTGATATACAACCCCCCCCCCCCCCCCCCAAAAAAAAAAATACAAAATGTATGAAAGTTCATGTCTTTTGGACCTGTTGTCATATCAAGGGTACTGGGAACGTTGTTTATTGACTCCAGCAGTCCTTGTCAATGATAATTAATGTCATATCAATGTGTTCAAACGTTCAAAACGTTCTATAGACTCAACATCTTTCATTTTAACTGTATTCAATTCAGGTCATTAGAAACCGGTGGATATGGGAATTAAATATACATATATTTCCAACATCGATTTCCAAACTTCATGATAAATAGTTATTAATGAACATTATTTCTTAACTATTATGATTAAAGAAATAACAAATGCAATGCTTTTATCACTTAAAGATTATGTTGTATTTTGTTTCTAGTTTCCCAATGAATAAATATATCTTTTTCGTACAAGTCCGTTTGAAATTGCTGATAAAGGACCAGATAAAAAATACAGAGACATTGTAGACAACTATAATTGTACTTTATATTTTTTCCAAAATTAAAGAATAGTACGTTTAGTAGTTAGATTAGTCTTTAATTAATCCAATGATGTGATGATTTAAGTAAACGGCGTAGCATTATGCTTAATTTATAGTAAACAATGATAATAAAAGTTTGTAGATAAGACCCATGTATATCAAGACATCTTTAAACCATTACTGAGTACATATACATGTGTACAAGCCGTGACATCACAGAAACACGCAAATTAACATATTAAAACTAAATTTTATCTGTGATTAAACTTAAACAATGTTAATCTTACCAAGAAGGCGACCACTCGGTAACCCTGCTCTAGTAGCCAAACGAGGATACATGATGTGTCCAGGCCACCACTGTAAGCCAACACCACTCGTTTGTCGTCAGCCATGATTCCAGTGTCCCTGCTACAACAGCAATCTAACGTGACTTGTTGGTCCTATTACCAGTCTACCGAGAAAAAGCGCTGCCAGTCTGCGTTCTAACACAGCAAGGAAACATCTGTATCACTCAATAATCTCCTAGAAACTAGCATCCGCTGTGTCACCACCGCCAAGACACCCAGGTGTGTGTATCACTTTGACTGGACTGGATACTGACTGTGACATAGACTTAATATACGTATCTATTGTGTGTTTAAAGATTGAAACATCAGTGTTTAAATTAAGTCCTTTCATGCCGCTGAGGCCTTCCTTTTTCTTATGTAATACTGTATCATATCATCGTGACGTCATTAAAAGCAATGAAACAGCGTCACAGGCTTCCACATTACAATGACGTCACATTAAAGGCGACTTAAAAAGGCAATACTCCATTTATATGCATTGACCATTTTTGAATAACGAAAATGACAAGACATACATTAACAATATCGGACACATTACAGTTGGATTATTAACGAAAGTGTCATTATCACTCAACAGACTATCATTTGCACTGGTACAAACAACAACGAAACCAAGAAATATACTCACGGACATCAAACACATCCAACTGAAACATGTAAACACTACAGATTGGGGAAGAATGGTGGTTACCAGCACGCTTGTCATACAGCTTGGTGGGAAGTTGTATTGATGTAAGCGGCTGCTGTGAAAAAGATTCTATCGTGTCCTCGATTTTCGATTTTGGTGTGTGTATGCGATGGACATTGAAAATAACTTTCTCGGCTGTCAAAGAGAATGCTTTATCAATATGTCTGAAAGTGAAATTTAATGACTTGGCAAGGTTTTTATGCCTGTTTAGATTGGCTCATCAATGAAAATTAAGACTTGTGTGAAAACAAAATACAGGTCAGTCAAGAGAGGGTCACAATTTATTTTTCGCATTCCCAGTGGGACTAAAACAGATGTAGAGCATTCGTCATTTCGAATTAAATGCACTTATCTTTAAAAAGCATTTCGCATTCAACATATCACATTTAAAAAATGACATTCAGCATTTCGCAAATCAATTCTAAGGTTACTTTTCCACAACAGCTAACAGTGCAACAAGGGGAAAAGGGGTAATTTGCAACAATTAAAAAACGCAAAAAATAACTTTACTACATCAGATTACCGCGATCTATTTTTTGCCACTTAGTTCAATTGTAGATATGATGATACCAATCACCACATTGTGAATTAGTGATAAGTTTGTTTCCTCGTCAATACAATGTATTCCAATTCCCGTAGCTGCAGACAGCAAACTGAAAACCTTACAGTATGTGATCTTGTGAAATAGCCTATGTCTTTGAGCAATACGATGTTCGATGTAATGGGTGCTCGTTAGTACGCTTAGTGGTTTCCTTATTAGTAACCTTGTTCTCATTTTGAAGACGTGACATTCCTTGGATCGGTCTTAGTTTACTTGTCATGATGCTCAAGCAGAAGAGGTGTACCCTTCCAAAACATGTGATCTTATTTTCCTTATGAGTTTTTAAATTTCGAACATGTCCGTGAAAATGTTTCCTTTGCTCATATTTTGACCTCGTTGTGCGGAGTTCGAAATAAATGACGATATGTTTACAAGCCAAGCCCCTCTTTTATCTTATCCAATAATCAGAATGGATTTGAAAATGGAAATAAGAATAATTTTTAATATTACATTGTTTTATTGAAATCCGTTTAGGCACATATATCGTCCAATCACAACATAAGAAATCCCAATTATAAAACGCAGTGCTATGTCTTTCATTCAAAACCAACCAATTAAAAAAATCGTTGAAATATTGCTCAATCAGTAAAAAATAAAAATAAAAAACCCTGTATTGCCAATTAATCAAAATATCAGTTTTTTTCATCAGAATAATCTTATTGCAAAGATTTTAATTCAAAAGGCCCACGAAAACCCGCTCCTCGTCATTTTAGTTACAAAAGAACATAGAGATGAATCTAGATATCTGAACAAGAGTTATAACACAGCATGTAACGACAAAATATGAAAAAAATTTATATGACTACTAAACGTTTTTAACATTATGCTACACACTTTTTTTCTATAATTTAAAAGAGCTACCACAAATAATAGTCCGTTCCTCAGACCTGGTCCGTAGGTTAGTACAGACTGTCCAAACTGGGCCGATCCGTACCAGACAGTTAATGAATAGACCAAGATGTGTGGCAACATGGCAACAAAAGTAATTATCTATTACCTTTAAATACTCACAATACTGTCCGATAACAGTAAATTAAACACAATGTCCAAGCAAAAGAATAAACATTTGATGTATTGTGAAATAAATAATAACAAAACATCCTTTTATCAATAAAAGTATGTATATGTTTTATTTAGAATAAATTAATATAAATAATTCAATTATGACGATGTTTCTAAGCACCGTATTATTGCTGATTAACGTCTGGATATGTGAAAACAAAAACAGGAAAATACAAAAATGTACCAACATGTCAACAAAATCATAATACAAACTCAGTTTCAATAAAACTATTGAAACATATGAACAAAAGAAAGATTTACACGGTGACTCCTGAAAAAAGACCAGGTGTTCCGGAAGAGTAAGCGTCTTCTTTTTCAATGACGACCTCAACAATCTTTATCATCTTTATGTATAGGTATATGTTGTAACACATTGTCTTTTCCCTTCTTGTACAGGTTTGTTTTCAGTTGTCTGGTGTATATCTTTCTTTTGTATATATTCTGAGCCCAAATTAAATCAATAAACTTTATTTATTTTACAACAATCGCGAAACAAGCTTTCAGCTTATATAATTCACTCTTGTTGGCCCGGATGGGATTGTGTAGGGGATCTTTTTGTTATAAGAAATAAGAAGGCATAATCTGGAGAAAAAACAACCCTCAAAAAAGTATACAAACGGGACGATTATCAAAAGGTTTAATTTGTTAGTAAAGTACAAGAACAGCCAGACAACAGGAACTTAATCATAGTCTACTTGGCTACAATTCTAAACTCTTATGTCTACCTTTGAATGTATTAATAAGATTTACTCAATTATTTTGAAATTACAAGAATAAGCGTTTTGCAATCAGAAATGATAAAAATGCGTATATAAAAATTGAAATTAATCAACCATTTACCAGTATGATCTCAGTACAGTTAAATGGAAGGCAGAGAGACAAGCACGTTAATAGATTCATCAGCGATATCAGTCTTAAAACCTAGATGGCGAATAGGGAAGATCAAAATTTGTCGAAATGTCAAAATGCAGATTTAATCCCAAAAATTGGAAAAAAATATCATATTTTATTTTTAATATTGTATAATTTGAACAATCTTACGTACAGGTTTATATAGTAACCATGTCACTATTCCACTGGACTAAATTCCATCGGCTGTGACGACATCCTGCAATCCTAAAGAATGGTATTGAATACGGAGGTATATTAACAGATAGATATATGAAAATTGCGAAATTTAATGAAATATCTGGCTAGCATACCTCCCAATCAAGATTTTGAATTTCCCCACTCGCCTCCTGAGTTGCTAAAGTTATGCTCACTTACGAGTCTTAGGACAAAACATTTATATGATGCATTGTCAGCCATGATTTTGATAACTCTCTCCAGTCACTCTTTTGTAAATTAATTATATTTTTCGGGTTTTTTTTTTTTTTTTAACGATTTAACCATTAATTTATTTTATCATTATATCACAGGGTGTTCAACTTATACCAGAACCAAATTAGAAATTTGGTTTACATTCGTCTATGTTTGGGTGAAAAACAAAACTTTTTATATCACTTTTGATTCCAGTAACACATTAAGCCTATTTTTGTTATCGTTGTTATAACCTGTCTACTTTCCCATACACTCGCCTACAAACATTTAACAGTTTTTGAGCGAAAATTTGACTCGACAACATCCACTAGCTTATCTGACTTATCTCTGACGTCTTTGGTCATTTTGATGTTTGTTTGACTATGGATCGTTTTGGTCAGTGTCGGAGGTCATTACTGCAGTGCTCTGATTCAATGACGCTTGTTCATACTTTCGGTCTCGTTCTCAGGAATTAACTCTAAGACTTTTGTTAATCGGCCGCCATCCACGCGACCCCATGTAATACTCATGTGCTTCCTGTAATAGGGACCTATCCAGTGTTACGAATAAGCAAGGAAAACAAATTTATCTGACAGTTGAAGAGTCGGTCTGTCGCTATCTGTTGATTTCTTGTCTGCTAACTATCTATCCACGTCCTTGAGGATTCCTTTCGCTAGTTCTTTGTGATAGTGTCCTTTTTGGCCTTTTTGTCAGATCTAGTTCAGATGATGCTTTGAAATGTGAGGGTTCGTATTTGGGAAAGTAGGTGGAATTTTTGTAACCATTTGTTTTCGGGATAACGGATGAGAAGTTATTTTAAAGTTCCAAATGGTTGGTTTTACTTGAAAGTCTCAACTTATACGTACGTAACAACAGGTCAGGATTTGATAATACAAAACCAGGAATTACCAGCACCTACCATAACAGTCCAGACAGAAAAAATACTGCTTAGATACAAAGATGTTAACCACTGCCAAAATCTGTATGACAGACTGGGAAAGTGATATTTCTAAGACTAGCTGCACTGCATCATAAAATGTTCTGGGATTAATAAAACAAAATATTACGGTAAACCAAACAATTGAAATGACGGCCTAACATGCATTACAATGACTAGACACAAAGGCAATGTCATTGTACAGAGTGTGTTCATGTATGTTTATCCACTTCAAGAAAGGCCAGCTGCATTATGATTTTCAATCTATTCCAGTGAAAGATCGTCTCCTGCAATACAAGTTTAGATCTTGAGAGAATTTGAAACGAGTAAAATATTATATTACAAAAAATTCTTATAAAATTTAATCTTGTGTAATTGTATCAATTTTCATGACAATAAAATGCATTCACCTCACAGTGTGAACACAAACATTGAGGAAACACCCTGAAGATTATGCATGTGTAATGAATAGACATTATCCTGAATTTAAAATCAACTTTGGTGAATAAATTAAAATATTCCACATTTTATTTACCAGCGTCAAGTATATTTGCAAGATATTCATAGCTTCGGTGAAAATTTCACAACATTCTGGAACACTTACGGGTGCGAATATGGTAAGCTTTCTTAAAATATTTCTTTGGGATGCAGCCCGATGCGTTTCCGGGACTAAGTATGACCTCATTTTCTGATTTATAAAATTTAATTCCGTCTGCAGAAGAGATATCATACAGAATATTAATCAATACAAGGAAAATGAATTGATAACAAAGCAAAAATCAGAACGCCAATCAAACGAAAACCAGTATGAACCTTACAGAAAAATTGGAAGGAACACCAGGTGTTCTGAAAAGGTCGGTACATCCTGCATTTCTTCCGAGCCACTATTTTTCCTAATGCACATACTGTACAGTTAAAACAGTTGATTAACTCTTGTAAAACAGATTATAATAGCAATGATGTCAGATGATCATTTACAGCTCATCTTCACGAAGTTGTTTGGCAAAGTTGCTTAAATTTATTACAAGCAAAATGGCATGAGAATACTTAGGAAAGTTTTCTCTGAAAAAGATTACCCTTAAACAAAGTAATACCGTATTAGGTAGTGTTATCATAGAATCATTTACATCATTCTGGAAATTTTCATTATGACACACCTACCATCTAATGCCCTCCTCAGGTCTATCTCGATGGCAATGTCACAATATGGAGGAAAACCTGCCGATGTAGAAATCAACATTCTAGCTATCCGTGGGAAGGGAGAGAACTCTTGCATACTTATTTCCCTGAACAATTGGCGTCGAGAAAGTTAATTATTGATTGCTGTTCTGGGCATTTTATACATCCTTATCGTCATTTGAAAAATTATTATTGATAAAACAGAGATTGGAACAATAATGGAAGGAATTTTGTTATGATATTTTGTAAGCTAAGTCTTACCACTTTTCTGTCCATGTTCTCCTTGAGCGAAATGGATATGTGTCCTCTTTTGTCTGGACAAACCCTGAATGGTAAAGGAAAAATAAATTCTTTTCAGTCTCTGCTGATTATATCTCAAAAATATGCTACACAAGCCTGCTTTGGTATCAAAAACATGAATCAACTGAAAAAAATCATCTACAAAACTGGTGATGCTTGTGGGGAAACTAAATATGGGTATAGATTGATAACAAGCTTAACTATGATAGGCAATAAACCCCGAAAATACTAAAACACTGTTTGATTAATATCTGACATTGTTACAATACTGTTTACTGGAGACACTACATTTTTACAATAATGTTTACTGGAGACTCTACATTGTTACACAACTGTCTACTGGAGACTCTACATTGTTACACAACTGTCTACTGGAGACTCTACATTGTTACAATACTGTTTACTGGAGACTTTACATTGTTACACAACTGTCTACCGGAGACTCTATATTGTTACAATACTGTCTACTGGAGACTCTACATTGTTACACAACTGCCTACTGGAGACTTTACATTGTTACAATACTGTTTACTGTAGACTACATAGTTACAATACTGTTTACTGGAGACTCTACATTGTTACAATACTGTTTACTGGAGACTTCATAGTTACAATACTGTTTACTGGATACTCTACATTGTTACAATACTGTTTACTGGAGACTCTACATTGTTACAATACTGTTTACTGGAGACTACATTGTTACAATACTGTTTACTGGAGACTCTACATTGTTACAATACTGTTTACTGGAGACTCTACATTGTTACAATACTGTCTACTGGAGACTCTACATTGTTACAATACTGTCTACTGGAGACTCTACATTGTTACAATACTGTCTACTGGAGACTCTACATTGTTACAATACTGTTTACTGGAGACTCTACATTGTTACAATACTGTTTACTGGAGACTACATTGTTACAATACTGTTTACTGGAGACTACATTGTTACAATACTGTTTACTGGAGACTCTACATTGTTACACAACTGTCTCCTGGAGACTCTACATTGTTACAATACTGTTTACTGGAGACTCTACATTGTTACAATACTGTTTACTGGAGACTACATTGTTACAATACTGTTTACTGGAGACTCTACATTGTTACACAACTGTCTCCTGGAGACTCTACATTGTTACAATACTGTTTACTGGAGACTCTACATTGTTACAATACTGTTTACTGGAGACTCTACATTGTTACAATACTGTTTACTGGAGACTCTACATTGTTACAATACTGTTTACTGGAGACTCTACATTGTTACAATACTGTTTACTGGAGACTCTACATTGTTACAATACTGTTTACTGGAGACTTTACATTGTTAAAATTCTGTCTACTGGAGACTCTACATTGTTACAATACTGTCTACTGGAGACTCTACATTGTTACAATACTGTTTACTGGAGACTCTACATTGTTACAATACTGTTTACTGGAGACTCTACATTGTTACAATACTGTTTACTGGAGACTCTACATTGTTACACAACTGTCTACTGGAGACTCTACATTGTTACAATACTGTTTACTGGAGACTCTACATTGTTACACAACTGTCAACTGGAGACTCTACATTGTTACAATACTGTCTACTGGAGATTCTACATTGTTACAATACTGTCTACTGGAGACTTTACATTGTTACAATACTGTTTACTGTAGACTACATAGTTACAATACTGTTTACTGGAGACTCTACATTGTTACAATACTGTTTACTGGAGACTACATAGTTACAATACTGTTTACTGGATACTCTACATTGTTACAATACTGTTTACTGGAGACTCTACATTGTTACAATACTGTTTACTGGAGACTACATTGTTACAATACTGTTTACTGGAGACTCTACATTGTTACAATACTGTTTACTGGAGACTCTACATTGTTACAATACTGTCTACTGGAGACTCTACATTGTTACAATACTGTCTACTGGAGACTCTACATTGTTACAATACTGTCTACTGGAGACTCTACATTGTTACAATACTGTTTACTGGAGACTCTACATTGTTACAATACTGTCTACTGGAGACTCTACATTGTTACAATACTGTCTAATGGAGACTCTACATTGTTACAATACTGTTTACTGGAGACTCTACATTGTTACAATACTGTTTACTGGAGACTACATTGTTACAATACTGTTTACTGGAGACTACATTGTTACAATACTGTTTACTGGAGACTCTACATTGTTACACAACTGTCTCCTGGAGACTCTACATTGTTACAATACTGTCTACTGGAGACTCTACATTGTTACAATACTGTTTACTGAAGACTCTACATTGTTACAATACTGTTTACTGTAGACTCTACATTGTTACAATACTGTTTACTGGAGACTACATTGTTATAATACTGTTTACTGGAGACTACATTGTTACAATACTGTTTACTGGAGACTCTACATTGTTACACAACTGTCTACTGGAGACTCTACATTGTAACAATACTGTCTACTGTAGACTCTACATTGTTACAATACTGTTTACTGGAGACTCTACATTGTTACAATACTGTTTACTGTAGACTCTACATTGTTACAATACTGTTTACTGGAGACTCTACATTGTTACAATACTGTCTACTATAGATTCTACATTGTTACAATACTGTTTACTGGAGACTCTACATTGTTACAATACTGTCTACTGGAGACTCTACATTGTTACAATACTGTTTACTGGAGACTCTACATTGTTACAATTGTTACAATACATTGTTACAATACTGTTTACTGTAGACTCTACATTGTTACAATACTGTTTACTGGAGACTCTACATTGTTAAAATACTGTCTACTATAGATTCTACATTGTTACAATACTGTTTACTGTAGACTCTACATTGTTACAATACTGATTACTGTAGACTCTACATTGTTACAATACTGTCTACTGGAGACTCTACATTGTTACAATACTGTTTACTGGAGACTCTACATTGTTACAATATTGTTTACTGGAGACTCTACATTGTTACAATACTGTTTACTGGAGACTCTACATTGTTACAATACTGTTTCCTATAGACTCTACATTGTTATAATACTGTCTACTGGAGACTCTACATTGTTACAATACTGTCTACTGGAGATTCTACATTGTTACAATACTGTCTACTGGAGACTCTACATTGTTACAATAATGTTTACTGGAGACTCTACATTGTTACGATACTGTTTACTGTAGAATTTACATTGTTACAATACTGTTTACTGTAGACTCTACATTGTTACAATACTGTTTACTGGAGACTCTACATTGTTACAATACTGTTTACTGGAGACTCTACATTGTTACAACACTGTTTGCTGGATACTCTACATTGTTACAACACTGTTTGCTGGATACTCTATATTGTAACAACACTGTTTACTGAAGACTCTACATTGTTACGATACTGTTTACTGTAGAATTTACATTGTTACAATACTGTTTACTGTAGACTCTACATTGTTACAATACTGTTTACTGGAGACTCTACATTGTTACAACACTGATTGCTGGATACTCTACATTGTAACAACACTGTTTACTGAAGACTCTACATTGTTACGATACTGTTTACTGTAGAATTTACATTGTTACAATACTGTTTACTGTAGACTCTACATTGTTACAATACTGTTTACTGGAGACTCTACATTGTTACAATACTGTTTACTGGAGACTCTACATTGTTACAATACTGTTTACTGTAGACTCTACATTGTTACAATACTGTTTACTGTAGACTCTACATTGTTACAATACTGTTTACTATAGACTCTACATTGTTACAATACTGTTTACTGTAGACTCTACATTGTTACAATACTGTTTACTATAGACTCTACATTGTTACAATACTGTTTACTGGAGACTTTACATTGTTACAATACTGTTAACTGTAGACTCTACATTGTTACAATACTGTTTACTGTAGACTCTACATTGTTACAATAATGTCTACTGGAGACTCTACATTGTTACAATACTGTTTACTGGAGACTCTACATTGTTACACAACTGTCTACTGGAGACTCTACATTGTTACAATTCTGTCTACTGGAGACTCTACATTGTTACAAAACTGTCTACTGGAGACTCTACATTGTTACAATACTGTCTACTGGAGACTCTACATTGTTACACAACTGTTTACTGGAGACTCTACATTGTTACACAACTGTCTACTGGAGACTCTACATTGTTACAATACTGTTTACTGGAGACTCTACATTGTTACAATACTGTTTACTGTAGACTCTACATTGTTACAATACTGTCTACTGGAGACTCTACATTGATACACAACTGTCTACTGGAGACTCTACATTGTTACACAACTGTCTACTGGAGACTCTGCATTGTTACAATACTGTCTACTGTAGACTCTACATTGTTACAATACTGTCTACTGTAGACTCTACATTGTTACAATACTGTTTACTGGAGACTCTACATTGTTACAATACTGTCTACTGGAGACTCTACATTGTTACAATACTGTTTACTGGAGACTTTACATTGTTACAATACTGTTTACTGGAGACTTTACATTGTTACAATACTGTTTACTGAAGTCCTTACTTTGTTACAATAATACCATAAATACATTTTGACTATTAACAACTTCAAAATACTTCAAGATATCATCCATTTTATATATTAGGCAATACTTAAATTTTATGCACTTAATATGTTACAATATGACAGAATGATTTAATAATAAAAACCCAGAAATAATGCAGTATATATGTAGTTATGCTTAAGAGTTCATGAACTGTTTCTTTCATCTACAATTTTAACCTAAGTGTGTGGTATAATGTTTGCAATGAAGTTTAAGAATGTTATGTTCACATTTCTCAGTTGTCCAATAAAGAAGATGTGGTAAAATCTGTTTAGATATTTGATATGATACACAATTGTTTCAACTCCCCCGCCTGCATGTATGGGTCTATCGAAAATGTCAGTAAACACACTAATCCTTCATCACACTTCAGTTATACACCACCCACCCTAACTACAGGAAGCCATGCTTGGCAGGATGTGCATCAGCAGATAAAATACAATTACCGTAAATACAAAAATAGGAGTAAGTTCCTCATCTAACAGGATATGTTTAACTTCTGACGTCTGTGGGATAGACTTTGTTTTTATTAATGTTAGTAGTCGAATCACTTTATATTTATATAAAGTATATTCATGTCACTTTTTTATAGGTTCAGCAGTACATACCATAGCGACTATTTTTACCGAGGAAAAACAAAACCAAAAAGGATAAGATTGTGGTTAGTATTTTTAAAAACTATTTTTTAACATCGTTCATTTCAACTTCTTTCATGATGTTTTCGTATTGTAATCATTTATACACAGTTTGCTTCAAAACATTCTCTGTACACAGGAATCCTTTATGCACAGGTAGCTTCAGTGCAACTTCTAGTCCTTATACACAGGTCATGTATAGACTTTTGTAAACTACACATAGCTGATTTCTATAAACATGTGTGATCTGCACACAGATGTCCTCATAAACATGTGTGATCTACAAATAGCTATTTTCTATAAACATGTGTAACCTACACACAGATTTCTTCTATATACTTGTGTGATCTACACACAGATGTCCTCATAAACATGTGTAATTTACACACAGGTGTCCCCTAAACGTGTAATCTACAAACAGATGTCCTATTTAAACATGTGTGACCTGTACAAAGCTGATCTCTATAAATATGTTTGATCTTAACACACAGATGTCATCCACAATGTATAAACATGTCTTTGTCTCCATATGTCCTTTTTGTAAATAATGAGCTCTTCACACAGCTGTCTACATTACATACATATTATATACATACATCCCCAACATCAACAATTTATTGTTTAAATGTTGTGAGCATCCTCTCAAAGGAGAAACATCTTATGTTGAAGCATGCATTATTGTAGCGTAATCACTGTAACAGGGACTGGAGATTTTAATACACAAACTATGGTATATGTATTTTGTACAACCCTTCAATGATTATATGTACAGACTCAAAATAGGCAGGGTAATTGATGTTACCACACACCTGAAGGTTACACTGTTTCAGTATTTGAGACAGCATCTTCAGTTACTAAATCTACTTACTACCTTTATTCAAGACTTACACATGGACATGCAACCTGAGCTCAACAACAATCACTGCCACAAGGATCTGAAGACTCAACTTCATTTTCCCCATAAGATTATAACCCGCCTTAAAATAACACGGCAGAGAAGTCGTTCCAGCTCCGATGTCAGTCAACAATTACTGGAACCCAAGCCAGTGTCAGTGAGTAGACAGTCAGATCTGTGTTATAAAGGTGGTGTGAGGGCAGTGGATACACTGTCAGATCTGTGTTATAAAGGTGGTGTGAGGGCAGTGGATACACTGTCAGATCTGTGTTATAAAGGTGGTGTGAGGGCAGTGGATACACTGTCAGATCTTGTTATAAAGCAGTGTGTAGGCAGTGGATACACTGTCAGATCGGTGTTATAAAGCAGTGTGAGGGCAGTGGATACACTTTCAGATCTGTAATATAAGATTGTGTGAGGGCAGTGATTATGCGGTCAAATCTGTGTTGTTTGGTTGTATTATGCCAATATATACACTATCAAAAAGCTGCTTGCTATGGTGATGTGATTACACTATCAGATCTTCATTAAATAGTTATGTTAGTGATTTCATTGTCATATCTGTGTAATATGGTGGTGTTGTCAGTGGTTACACAGCCATACCTGCATAAAATGGAGGTGTTGTTAGTGATTTTATAGTCAGATTTGCATTATATGGTGGTGTTATGTCTGAGAGTTCACTGTATCATTTGTGTTTTACATGGTATTAAGATTATTCATTAATAAGAATGTATATAAAAATGTATAATATACAGTTTATCAGTGTTTGATGAAATATTTGATTTGCCTAAATAAATATATTTCGATGTGGTTCATGATCAAAATACAATATAATATAAACATGGTCTTACTTTTTCCTTGATAGATTCCCAATTACACTTGCGAGTACCATGTAGAACTACTCTTGCTTCACTGTAGTGGTTGATAGGTGTGAGGTCATTTGCACTTAACTACAATGAGATAGTGTTATATACTTAAACAATATTGGATCAATCTATCCCCTATATGCATACTGATATATGTCATATATATAAGCACCGACACACTGCATTCATGAATCAGCTGTTTTCTTTCATTTGCAATATATTCGTAGGATATTACCTTCTTTGAATCTCATCATGATTTATTACTTAAAATAGAAAACATCTCCAAAATGACCAAATTTTAATAGTAATTAAACTGAATTCTGACACATCCTACACATTATCTAATCAAATTACACAATATTAAATAAAATTGATACAGTGGTTGAGATAATTCCAATGATAATGACCTTCATGGTATGTCCTTGTGTTGCTTTAATTTTCAATTCTCCAGATATCGTTTGTAGCTTGAACCTCCCTTTTCTATCTTTGTGTACAACAGTGCGTACATCTTCTTTGGTAAAAGTGTTGACTTCATGTAGATTTAATATTTCTTCTACGTCCACATATCCTTCTGTGAAATGAAAAATAAAATGTACAGTTAAATGTGTGAAGTTACGCCATGTAAATGGTCTGACTAATTTACTCTGCCTTTGAAGAATTGGATGACAATGAGATGTCATGTATACAGATATTACATTAAGTTTGTTACATTTTTCTCACCGGGTGAAACTTCAAGGCCTTTTTGCCGAGCATCATGACGAAGTATCCTTGCTAGAAAATGCGAGAGACGATCAGACATGGTTATAGAGGAGCCGCGAAATGAATTGTTCTAGAAAATGTCATTCTGACATATGAAACGTAACCGAACGTTTCGTAGAAAGAGAAAAGCGAAAGTGAAACTAGAATACAAATGTAAGCAAACGCTGTTTTTAAATTGACGTCATACTTCAGTGATAACAAACCTACACATCTTTTGTTGTTACATTCTTCGTTTCTTTTTCTAATTACATATCTAAACTCTTGCATGCACTACATCATATTCGGGTAGCGACTGCAAAGGCATACCCTGAATCGGAACTCTTTAGTGTTTGGAGATAATGAAAGTATGTTGACGTCAATTTTCATAATTTTTCGCCATTGTTCAGAAGACTTTTACTTCATGTTATGTTTCTGCAGCGAAGAAAGATCAACTTAAGAATATTCATTTGTATCAAATACTAGACAACGTTTAAACCCCGTACATCGAAATGGAAACAATATTAAGGTGAGGCAATTAAACGTTCCAATATGCACGAGTTTTTCGTCTGCATTTAAAATGCACACAGTACCATGTAAATGATGTGGCGGTTGCTAGATCAATTAGCATGATGATTCATACTGCCATCTCTTTGTGCTAGTCTCTGAATAATATACATTTAGAAACAATTGAAGGGTCGTTGATTCTGAAATCTTAACCAAATGCATACACTCAGTATGCAGCGATAGCTCCCATTGATAGGTCTGTTGGTTCCAGACGAACCGTGGAACTTTTTTTTATAGCTAGAGTTGCGGTTTGTCAAGCTGTATCACATAAACTATTTAATTGTGTGGTCTTGCACAATGATTTTCGTTGTTACATCATGCAATACTTACAAAAAATATAAACCTATGAACCACAAAATATACATTTCTTAAGAGAACAGGGACATAGTACATATTCCTGTTTCCCCAGCCAGGAATCGAACCCCGGCCTAACTGACCAGCTCCTTAAACACTACTTCCCCCGTTTTTCACGAGATTACCTAAATCTCAACCCTGGACTGTATGAATAACATAAACCATGGGATTTTGTTGCATATTAATGGCAAAGAACTGGGAAAATGGTCAAAATTGTTCATTTTATGAATACATAAGAAAAACCAAGCAGCTTGTTTTCATCTTCTAATGCTAATTCTGTGTATGTACTATAGATTCTGTTTCCAGATAATCTACTCACAGAATATATGTCAATGCCTCTGCAAGGGATTGAACCTGTAACCTCAATATATATAGGTCACATTGTACTTTTTATTCCTTTGAATTCATGTCACTCATTAATTGTAGTAGTATCACCTATTCACTATAATGACATATCACCAAATCCTTTTATATCACAGTCTCTCACAAACACACACAGTAAACATATGCAGTCACTATGGTATATACAGGAAGGGATTTTTTTCCTTGATGGATCCAAGCCCATAGGTAGTATTTGAAAATTATATCATGGGCCAACATAGAAACTGGACATTGATTGTACAGATGAAATGATGTCAAGACATTAAATTTTAATTGCTTTGAGTTGTATGGTTTTTAATAGTTTATTCTTTGTCTTCAAGTTCAATTATCATCATATGGTTTTAACATCTATCAGAGGGATTTAATAATTTAGCTTGCAGACTGTGCCTTTGCTAGGATTTGAACCCGGAACCTCTGGCGTACTAGTCTGATGCTCAACCGATCGAGCTAAAGAGAAGCTCTCTTTAGCCAAGCAGTATATAACAGCTATTATTTACCGGGGTTACATACTCCCCTCCTGCAGGAAATAAGTTGTCCTCAGGTTTCCAGGGGTAATAGCGATTCTTGTGAAAGCAACTTTAGGTATATTATTCCCAATTCCCTACATTGGCGCATGTGTAACAGAGATCATTATTTATTTCAATGTCCCTGCTAGAATTCAAACCTGGGACCTCTAGCATTCTAGTTACATATAGGCTTCCACAAAGAAAAGGTAACATAACTTTAGCATATATGTTTCGCAGAATCAGAAGCACAAGAATTTTGTGAAGATCTTAATGTATTTTGATAGAGCCTACCAGTTTTTTTATCACTTCTTAGTTCTGTTGTTGCTTTTTGAATAACACATGTTCTCTTGACATGGGATGTAAATGGGCTCAGTATTAAAAGACTTGTATAGTTTGTTATTATTCTGTGCTTCTAAAGGCTGCTGCTTCCAGACCTTCTTGGGGTCTCAATAGCTCAGTCTGTTCAAGTGTTAGCCCACCTAACCTCAGGTGAAGAGCTATGATGTATACTTAGCTAGTTACCCATGGTGTTCTGTGTTTTTCAAAAAGATGAGAAACGAAATCAGCCTGTGCTGACAAAGTTGTGTCCTTGGGTGACAGACCTCCTGTATGTTGTTCAGTGAGAAGGTCACCAGGTAATACAAGGCGTTCCTATCTCAAAATAACCTTGGCTGTTCATGGGGCAATAAACCTAACAAACAAATATCCATGTCTTCTTTTGGAGATTTTTCTTCTCATGAGTAATACTTTACTTGAAATAATGCTAGGTTTTATCTCAGCAGTGGTTGTTAGTGTTTTGTTAACTGATTTAGTTAAAAGCTATCTTCATGAAATATCCTTTTAGATTTTCACAAAATTAAGCCCACTGTTTGAAATTTTGAAAACTGCCTGTTGCTTGGTAATGTTTGATTACCTTTTAAACAATGCTTTTTATTACTGAAGTACAGTTATGAACTTGTCTACACTTTCTGTTTAATGTAAATAGCATTTATCTGAAAAGTATATGCTATTGAGATATATAAGGAATGAAGAATTGTAGTTTAAATTGATTTTTAACTTTATTACTTCATGCACTGTATTTCCTTTAGGATTTCTTGATCTTATGTTGGCAAAAGTTTATCTGAAGTTGGAAAACTGCAAAAAGTTCGAGTGGAATTTTTCATAATTATGTAATAAAACAGATATTTACTATTTCATGTCTTTTCAGATTGTAGTATATTACAAAAATATATACCCCTCATTACTGGTTGATCATCATGTGTTATCATTAACTTGGCCTTTTAGATTTGTGCAATATAACTCATGGTCAAGTACAAATCCTTGGGCCATATATTTTTGACATGAAAGGCTTGAAATATCTGAAAATAAGAGTACAAGTATTTCTGTAAAAGTCGTTATATGTAATTCAAATTACATCCGTTCGATGATTTTTTTTTCAAAAGCAAAGACTGAAGTTGTGTAAAGGATAGAAATATTGAACATGTGTTATACTGAAGTATTTTTGCAAGATAAGACTAAAGTGCACTTACATATTTACTGAGAATAGAAATCAGTATAAAGAGAACATGTGATGGGGTACATATGAACTAACTGGCAAACTGAATATCCAGATACTTAAAAATGTTCCTGATGTCAATCTTTCTTCATGGATTATCTCCCTTCCCATACATTAGACAGTTGTCAGATTTCCAAGTTATATTAAGTGTACATTAAGTGTTTAAAAGTAAGAATCATTGCTATGATTTAATCATTATCTTGAGCTGGTTAACATGTTTTGGCCAGCTTCCATGTTATAAAATGTAAATTAGCACTTGAATATAAAGAAATGTTCAAACCATAAATAGATGGTCAGGGTGACAGAGTGGTAATATACTTGCCTTTCACTTAGGTGTCAGTGGTTCCATTCCCATTAATGCCCACCCCCGAGTACTCCGGTTTCCTTACATAGTATCTGTGGGACCCTCTCAAGCGCTTTTAAATGGGACAACAAAGGTGGTTTCCATGGTAATATATGTTGAAATAACCTGCTGCAATTGTTGTGAAATAAATAAATTTTATATAAACCATGAATTCTTGGCAAGCAATACCATTGACAGCTGTTGTACACACATACCAAATATTCATGTGTTTCTTTAGTATGGTTACAAAATATTTTGGGACATATATTTACACTTTAAAATTACTAGTTGGCTCTGGATTTTGATTCCTAGACTTCAAATTTGTTCAGCGTTACACTTCCTTACATTATTGAGTACTTACATGTACTTCACCTGAAGTAAAGGAATCATCAACAGTTTGAAGTGCCTCCAGCCTCAGGCCTGAAATGTTTTATAGAAATATACTGTAATTGTAGCACAACATTTGGTCTTAGTTTCATAGAGCTTACAATTTTTTACCTTGATCACGTAGATGCGACATTTTGTTTGGATGATGCAAGAATACCAGAGGATAGATAAGTTTTTAGATTTTAATGTAATGACTGTGTATGCCAATAGAAGCTGTAATATACAAAGCTTATATAGTCTCACTGAAGTCACACACATAATACCTGGGTATATATTTAAGAACATCAAAGAAAATAGGTATCATTCACAATTTTAATTGATTGAAAAGAAGTGTCCCATTTGACATGCAACCTTATCTTAAATTGATTGATTGCTGTAGGTGATGCAGGATTGTAATTAACTTGTAAATCATGTGTGATTATAATCTTAGGTGTATATATATGTGTATTTTGGTATTTTACTTTGCTCCAAACACTTAAATTTAATGAGGGATAAAGTATTTTTGTTTATGTATTCCAGTTTCCATAGCATGTAACCTGACTGCTATAACCAGATCTAGACTGTCTTATACACAGTATAATTGGGTATGAGGTATTGTATCGTCATTATCTGCCCCAAATCAGCAACATTTTGTAACCTATTTGCACCAGTATTGAAATACAGCTGTGACATTGACCTTTTCACTTTTGACCATGACCCTATATAGTTCCTTAATACAACTTTGAAATCTTGACCATTGTTCTGTGTATGGTGTGTAGTACCATGGGTAACACTGACATATGAATGCACATCATAAATGCTGTACTAAATGAAAACTATACCTCCCATGATGAAAAGGCTTCAAAACTGCACAGTATCTTCACCGAAGATTTATGCGACTTAAAATGATGTTCAGGTACAGTACATGTAATAATGATTATCAAGTTGTCACAGTACATGTGTATAACTGTGGTGCCACCTCAACCTTTATTTCACAATCTAGTTTATCAGTTATAGTTTTATTTTTGTTTTTAGTAGTTTC